CACACCCACACCCACAGCAAATACAACAGAAGAACAAGTTGAAGAAGAAACAACAACGGGTAAGACCATTCAGATACTGGTTGACACTGCTTAAATTATATTTCTACTATGTAGAACCACTTTGTGTCACATGTCATACTCCATCCATCCGAAGTCTATTCGGATTCGTGCAGTTAGGCTCAATTCGTTGGGACTGTAGCAAGCAATGACAGAATGAATTAATGAATGAATGGCTTGTGTGAAGGAGTTTTGAGTCAGTCGGAATAATGCACAACATGAGATACCTGTTTCATTCAGTTCTGTTCTTGCACAGTCGACAGTAGTCACCATCTCCACGAAAGTGTACACAGAGAGACTGAGTGAGTGAGTGAGTGACTGTCACTGTTTTGCACATATTCTATTCTCGACACGAAGAATGTCAACGCATCTCCTTCCACGTGCTCATCTCCATCTGAATCGGAACAACATTGTCACAGATTTCGGATATTCACTCCTCACCATTCCACATTTGTCGACTTCGTCACCCGCTGATTGAGTGAGATGATCGGGTTCTAGTGTATATTTACTGTTCCCTTTCGTTCATAATGGAACATATTTCTCCAACTGCATGTCTCCATTTGTTTCTGTCTTCCTTCTGCTGTACTTTTCACCTGCATCCATCCATGTTAGTCAGTCCATACTGTTTCAACTCCTCTTCATCACACAATCTCCTCCATGTCACCCACCCTTGCCCTGACATCCCAGTCGCCGCTTCCCCTTCGGCCTGGTTCCACTCGAGCAATGGCCTGACGCGCGCGCGATGTCACCGAGCGGCGGCCTACTCAGCCACGAGTGTCCAATCCATCTCAATGCACTTTCTCCTGCATATTTGTTGGTTGGGCTATTGCTTCTTGTTTTGTTTGTTTGTGACCACAGTTTCCCATAGTTGGTGATTCTTTCCGGCCCGGCCGGCCGGCCGGCCATCTGATCTTCAGTATACAGCCAGCGAAGACAGTTGTTGGTTGATGAAGGTCTGCAACAGGCTGTTGGAAATATTGTTTGTGATCCGCCCGCCCGCCCGCCAAGTTTCTGATCCGTTCCGTGTATACAAACTGACTGACTTGACTTTGTTTGTATTGGAAATCCGACTGGATTTTGTTGTTGATGCTGGCTGGCTGAGTGACGAAGATTGCTATCCAGATTGGTTTCAGTTGGTTGATGAATGTGTGTGTTTGTCGCCCCCCACCCGATTCTCGCTCGATTTGACATCCTCGTCCGTTTCTGTGGCCTGTAGTTGAGACAATGCTCCCTAGATAAGTGAGTGAGTGAGTGAGTGAAGTAACCTGTTTCAAATCCCTCCCGTTGATGGTGTTTTTGACGCTGGATGTTTCTGTTTTTGTTGGTGTTGTTGGTTGGTTGTTTATTTTCATAACCTCCGTCTTGTCAATGTTCACCTGGAGTCCTCTCTTCTCCGGCCGCCTCTTCCACCAGTTTGTCGGTGGGTTTTCGTCTGTAAGTCTTCGATTTTGTTTGACATCCTACATAAATCATCGACTCGCGAGATCCACGTCTTCTAGTTTCATCACGTCGCTCCAGGATATCCCTGTCTTCTCGTTTCCCACTGATTGTCTGACGCATAATCCAGTCAGTCAACACAATTAGGAATATCATTTATTGGTGATAATACGCAGGCACCCTTGTCTGACTCCTGTGTTTACTCCAAACGCCTGGCTGAGTTTTCCGTTGTGGATCACTTGACATGTGCCACCGTTGTCGTACAGCTGTTGAATAAGCTTGATGAATATTTGGGCGCTGCACGCCGTAGTACTCGAGTAGTGTCCTAACTACTTCGCGGTCAACGCTGTCTGTCGAAGGCCTTCTCAAAGTCTATAAAGTTGAGGTAGATGTTTGATTGCCATTCCATTCTTTGCTCTGTGATGATGATGCGTAGAGTTGCAATTTGGTCAGTACATGATTTGCCTGACTTTCCTGAATCCAGCTTGTTCTGGTCGGAGTTCTGTATCCAGTACGTCCTTTATTCTCTCCAGGATGATACGGATTAGTATTTTGCTAGGCGTTTAAAGGATCATGGTTCCTCGCCAGTTCTTGCAGAGTCCTAAGTCGCCATTCTCTGGTAATTTCACAAGGTAACCATCCCTCCAGTCAGTAGGCATAATTCCCTCCTTCCAGACCTTTCACAATAATGGAGTCAGCATTTTTGCTGTCATCTCTGTGTCCGCTTTCAGTGCTTCAGTGGGTTTTCCATCTTGTCCAGCTGCTTTCCAAGCTTTCAGAAGCTTGATTGCATTCAAGACTTCAGCTTTTCTTGGAGGATTGGTGTCAACTTGCAGTTGTGTACGCGCTGCTGTAGGTAATTCTGGACGGGATGCAGATGGTGATCGGTTCAAGAGTCCTTTGAAGTGATCCGCCCATTGTTAAATCTGTGTTTCTCCCTTGTTAATAGGGTCCCTTGGCTGTATTTTATAGGTTTCAGAAGCTTGATAGCGTTCAAGACTTCAGCTTTCGTGGGTAGCATCTCAATATTCACGGCCTCTTCTGATAGCAAAGTCACTCTGCGTCTTTGTTGTGTTGTTATCACGGTCTTCATATCCTCGTGACTATCCCAATGTGCCTCACTGTGTCCCACTGCGTCTCACTGTGTCAATCTCCTTATCAAGTGAGTATGGCTACAAATTTCGTATTGTGCATAGCTTTGATTTCACAAAGATTTCGTCAGTTTCTGAGCTGATCCACACTGTGCTTTCTGAATCATTTCGTGGAAGCGATTGATACTCGCTGGGCCGTCAACGGAACACCTGATCTCACAGTAGATTGTAATGCAGGCGATTTGTGGAGGCCAGTACGCTGGAGACTGGAATTCGAATGAACCAACCACTCGGTGTGAGCAGACAAACAGACAGACAGACAGAGAGAGGGGCCAGTGTTGCATCGCTCAGTCTTCATATTGTCAGACATGGTTGTGATGACTGCTGCTTAATTGTCGTGTGCGTCTCCACTGAAACGTCGCGTCCTGCATATTTTCTAACCAATTCACACGTATCCTTGTTTTCGTCTACTAGTGAACGTCGACGAGGAGGTGGAGATCTATGGTGAGTCTATCAATCTGATATCTGACATCTATCGTCATCATGATTTTGTGTTGTGAAATCTGCATGTTCAACTTTTATATGCAAAGTTAAATTTTGGACACCACTCACAACCCATCAGAAATGTTCTTTGAACGGACCAATCACATTTAAGTGGCATTTACGATGATTGGAAACGTATATTTATAGAATAAATCATAAAAATATCATAAAACAGTTTCACGGAGTATCTTTCCCCAACATTTGAGAGAAACATCTCCCAGTTAAGCATCGAACTGTCAATAGGAAAGTTACACCACATTCTGTGCATATATTCATCTGAATGACTACAAATGAGTGTTGTATAACCTAACCTATTACCCAAATATTGTTCGCTCGCTGGCGACCACGGTTGTATTTTTTATTTTCACCAACACAGTTTCATCCACGTGCACAACAACGTATTCTCCACCCAACAAAGAATAGATTTTCTCAATTTTCGAAGAATGGATATCTCTGCAATGCTGGTACCATTGAACTGTTGAGACGAGGCTATTCTCCGTCTCAGAAGCTGCGGCTCTCACTGGCTGTTTCAGTACTGAGTAGTTGCAGATATACCAAATTTGCGTCAAGGAGAGGTGTGACCTTGCAAAATTAGTTCCTACGAAATATTAAAATTACCAGCTTACCGTCTCTTATGCTAACTCGCTTCAAGCATATTGCCCAACGATGGACAAATCCATCAGTTGACCTGCCATAGCTTTTCAAGGTCATGACACCACCACACGAACAGGTTCGCTCCTTCCGGAGCAACACTAAATCCAGCCAACACTGGAAAACACGGTCCTCCTCGAATTGCGACCGTAATCTTGTTAGGGCACGCATTTCAAACGAATCAAGCGGTATACAACATTGAAGTAACGTTCGTGAATATCACCGGATAATTCGAAGTCGTTCGCTGATTGGTAGTGAATGGCGCTTAAAGTTTAACTTGGCCCATCTATATATAGAAAACTGTGAATAGCGTATGTTAGTTAACAGGCGACGACTGGTTTTTCTTATTTTCAGGGGTCAAAAACATCTATCCCAGCATGTGCTATACTCGAGGTGAGAAGGATGAAATCTTTTCCACTTTTCACTTCTTACCTATATTCTGAAGACAAGTGAGTGGTGATATCAGAGAGCGGAGATTCTGAATGCTCTCCGTGAAATCTGACCTGTGATAATTATTTGGACAGTATACATATATATATATATATGTGTGTGTGTGTGTAGAAAGTGAGATGATCGTGTGTGGAGCAGCAGACTGGTGACGGGAGGCGGGAAATTCGAATCGAATTGTGTGTGTGTGTGTTTGTGAGTGAGTGAGTGAGTGTGTGGGTGAGTGAGTGAGTGAGCATCATAGATAACACATAACACATTGGCTGACATGCAATTGAAAATGTGAGTATATGAATTCTGTGGATTCAGATGAATATGCAATCAATGCAGGCGATGTGATAGGAATGTGACAGTTGATGTGTATTGCAGAGGAGGCACGAGCAACAAACATAGACGCTTTCGTGTGTTCCACATTGGTGTGAGATGAGAGTGTGTGACAAATGTGCCAGTCACTGTGGAAGTCATATTCCCACTCTGGTGCTATTCGCGATACTCTCAATTTTCAATCTCTCTCGTTTCAATGAAGAAAAATCTTGTTGTGCAGGCAACAACACAAGGTGAGTTTTGTGACTACGTGAATATATTCGTCGACTTGACGTGAGACAACAAACACCCTTGTCTCTCTAATTCACTCACGTCCAGTCAGATGATGATCTTGATGATGTGGGAAGTGGGTATTTTACATTTATCACGTAGGTCAGTGGTGTGACAACTGATGAGACACGTCTGTTCTACTTCTATTCTCTTCTCTTCTCTTCTCTTCTCTTCTGACAGCTCTGCCAGTCACCACACCCACACCCACAACAAATACAACAGAAGAACAAGTTGAAGAAGAAACAACAACGGGTAAGACCATTCAGATACTGGTTGACACTGCTTAAATTATATTTCTACTATGTAGAACCACTTTGTGTCACATGTCATACTCCATCCATCCGAAGTCTATTCGGATTCGTGCAGTTAGGCTCAATTCGTTGGGACTGTAGCAAGCAATGACAGAATGAATTAATGAATGAATGGCTTGTGTGAAGGAGTTTTGAGTCAGTCGGAATAATGCACAACATGAGATACCTGTTTCATTCAGTTCTGTTCTTGCACAGTCGACAGTAGTCACCATCTCCACGAAAGTGTACACAGAGACTGAGTGAGTGAGTGAGTGAGTGACTGTCACTGTTTTGCACATATTCTATTCTCGACACGAAGAATGTCAACGCATCTCCTTCCACGTGCTCATCTCCATCTGAATCGGAACAACATTGTCACAGATTTCGGATATTCACTCCTCACCATTCCACACTTGTCGACTTCGTCACCCGCTGATTGAGTGAGATGATCGGGTTCTAGTGTATATTTACTGTTCCCTTTCGTTCATAATGGAACATATTTCTCCAACTGCATGTCTCCATTTGTTTCTGTCTTCCTTCTGCTGTACTTTTCACCTGCATCCATCCATGTTAGTCAGTCCATACTGTTTCAACTCCTCTTCATCACACAATCTCCTCCATGTCACCCACCCTTGCCCTGACATCCCAGTCGCCGCTTCCCCTTCGGCCTGGTTCCACTCGAGCAATGGCCTGACGCGCGCGCGATGTCACCCAGCGGCGGCCTACTCAGCCACGAGTCTCCAATCCATCTCAATGCACTTTCTCCTGCATATTTGTTGGTTGGGCTATTGCTTCTTGTTTTTGTTTGTTTGTGACCACAGTTTCCCATAGTTGGTGATTCTTTCCGGCCCGGCCGGCCGGCCGGCCATCTGATCTTCAGTATACAGCCAGCGAAGACAGTTGTTGGTTGATGAAGGTCTGCAACAGGCTGTTGGAAATATTGTTTGTGATCCGCCCGCCCGCCCGCCAAGTTTCTGATCCGTTCCGTGTATACAAACTGACTGACTTGACTTTGTTTGTATTGGAAATCCGACTGGATTTTGTTGTTGATGCTGGCTGGCTGAGTGACGAAGATTGCTATCCAGATTGGTTTCAGTTGGTTGATGAATGTGTGTGTTTGTCGCCCCCCACCCGATTCTCGCTCGATTTGACATCCTCGTCCGTTTCTGTGGCCTGTAGTTGAGACAATGCTCCCTAGATAAGTGAGTGAGTGAGTGAAGTAACCTGTTTCAAATCCCTCCCGTTGATGGTGTTTGACGCTGGATGTTTCTGTTTTTGTTGTTGTTGTTGTTGGTTGTTTATTTTCATAACCTCCGTCTTGTCAATGTTCACCTGGAGTCCTCTCTTCTCCGGCCGCCTCTTCCACCAGTTTGTCGGTGGGTTTTCGTCTGTAAGTCTTCGATTTTGTTTGACATCCTACATAAATCATCGACTCGCGAGATCCACGTCTTCTAGTTTCATCACGTCGCTCCAGGATATCCCTGTCTTCTCGTTTCCCACTGATTGTCTGACGCATAATCCAGTCAGTTCAACACAATTAGGAATATCATTTATTGGTGATAATACGCAGGCACCCTTGTCTGACTCCTGTGTTTACTCCAAACGCCTGGCTGAGTTTTCCGTTGTGGATCACTTGACATGTGCCACCGTTGTCGTACAGCTTTTGAACAATTTTGATGAATATTTGGGTTTCACATAATTTACTTCTTGATTGTGAGTATATTTGGTGTACATTGACGTGTTTGTTAATTTGACATTCGTTTGAGTGCCAGGCCTCTAATTATTCCCTGGTACTTATGGTATTTCCTCGATCTGAAATCTCGACTTTTTCCTAATCAAACTGGTGTATATATTTGTCTATATTCTTTGGAATGTGATATCTTTATCGTGTCTTTTCTCGGCTGATTTGTGTTCCTGGATTCTGATTAGAAGGAGAGTCTCACTCTTTCCTACGTAATACCTATTACAGTTCACAATTTATTTATTTTGTAAATGGTATTGATTTTATCTCCTTTTTCTGTTGGGTCTTTCGGTTTTTATAATATCGATTTAAGCTTTTTGACTGGTTTGTGTGCTATTTCTATATCAAACCGTTTCACTATTCTGGCGGTTATTTCAGAGATATTTTTCCTGTATGGTGGGATGAAAATTCACCTTACCTGGTACTCAAACGAATGTGCAATTAACAAACACGTTGATATAGACCAAATATAACAAACTTATATAAAGTAAATCAGGTGACGAGAAAGTTTAAACTCCAAGTAAATAGAAAATGATGAATTCACGTATGTAAAGATGGTTACCGGGAGACGCAATTATATCACTCATGGTAAATCATTTAAATCATTCCACTTTATGCTATATATTGCTCTGAAAAGGGATGTTGTTTAGAATAGGGATGACGAAAGCTCCGGAACTAAACCAACCAGCTCAGAGAACACGATTAATTGCAGAGCATTCACCTGAGCTACAAATCTTCTCTCCTACACCTAGATTCGTCTTTAACCATCGAGGAACGCTACTTATTATGCAGCTTTTGATGACTGTGACAGTGAATTGAGATTTTTGGTATAAATAACAACAACTGGAACACAAGTATCAAGTGCATGACTGCTGCATCTTCTTACATCAATCGATTTTTTTCCAGCAAGCAGTTTTTACGGATTTGACTTGTTTCCAGTCTAAACCCTGGCTGACAACAGTCAGAGGACTGTTGGGAAAACAAGGAAGCACACTGAACATCTGTTGTGTCCTTTAGTTTGAGATTTTTTAGCAGCGCTCACCTGCCAGAGTTTGAATCTCGAACATTCAATTAAGAAGGCAAACTCATAAACCATTCAGCCACCATGACCTGATCCAACGGCACGCATGTGAATTCCAAAGTCTACCAATTCTTAACTTTCGCAATTCTGCTGCAAAGTCTTGACCGGTGGAGTTTACCTGGTCGACGATAACACTGACTGACAGCTGCGCTATATATACACATCATGAATTGGGGGAAATAGGAATTCGTCGTCTAACCACTGAAAGGGGTCCCCAGTGTCTGATTGGTCAACCAGCTTACCTTGGAACTAGAAGTTTTCGAGTTCAAACCCTGGTGGTTGCGTTCTATTGAATAGTAGTCCAAAACAAGGAGAAGTCTGCTGTCCAGTTTCCCTTGGTCATCCAAAGATTCATTAACCAATGTTAGCTCATGGCGGATCGTGAAATAAATATGTGGTCTTGCTTTATACACTGTTCTAATGATTCCATTTCGTATAGACACATTTTAAATCAGTTGACATAATCTAATATACACAGTATGACTTCATTTTGCCAAAATCATCATCGAAGATACCTTTATTGAAATGCGATCAATGTAGCTCCATTATAATTCACTGTTAACATCATTATTATTTTGAGATCAATGGCAACATGTATGGGGTTTGTAGTTTCCGCGGATTGACCCAATGAATACATACAACCAAAGTTATGCGGAAAGATATTTATTGATTTTTGGTTTTATTCCATTGCGTCATGAGTGGAATCGGTTTTCACTATTACTTTTTTCAATGGACCATTTTCAGTCTTGGCAAGAAAGAAATCCGCTAAAATTGTCCCCAATGGAGAGCCTATGGCAATACCGTCAATTTGTCTGTAGTAAAGGTTGTTGAATGTGAAGTGTACATGCATAGTACATCTTAAAAGCAACTCTTTCAGACTAATAACCGGTATTCCGATGTCGATCTGTTTTTTAGTATCTGTTGGCATATGAATTCCACAGTCTCCATAAGTAGTACATTGGTAAACAGTGATGCTACATCTAAGGAAAGCATTTGCTTCCCATTTACATTGATATCATCCACGTTAGCAATAAATTCAAAAACGTCTTCAACACTACGATTTAGTACCATCTTGTGTAACGGTTGGAGGAGTTCACCTAGCCACTTTGCCACTCCATGGTAGGTGGAGTTTGACATATCCAGGACTCGGCGAAGAGGAAGTCCTGGTTTATGTATTTCGGGCAGACCGTACAGACGTGAAGTATTAATTCCAGTAGGTTTAAGATGGTTATATGCTGCCTCTGAGATTACTCCACTTTTTTCTCAGTTCCTTAAGCGTGTTGGTTACCTGCTTTTCAGCCTTTCCGTCCAGATCTATTGGGTTAATAAGATTTTGGAACTTCGTTTCATCCGTTAGAAGCGAATTCATTTTGTCAACATAATCCCACTTATTCATCAATACTACTCCGTCTCCTTTATCAGGTCTACTGATTATAATGTTTTCGTCGTTGCTTAACTTTCTTAGGGCTTCTTAATGCTGTTTAGTTTGTAAACTCTTACTAGAATGACTACTGTTTTTTATACTGTTGACAACTGTCGACTAGTGCAGTTTTAAACCTAGCAACTTCATCGTCTGATGTTGGGGTTAAATCTTTCGTTTGTAGGAGGAGGTTTTCAAACTGGATGTTGGTATCGAGTTGGTTGACCTTATATCCTTGGTCACAAAATCTAGGACCCAATGATAAAGCTTCTAACTGTGATTTATCTAGTGTTACACTTGAAAAATTATGGACGTACCGATAGGGGTCTGAAGGGAATGAAGGGAAATCCTTTTCAGGATTTTGGCTGTCTTATGATTTGACAAGTTTCGTTCACCTTTTCTCTGCTCTGTTTTGGCTAACACTGTCCACATACTCCATGAAATCAAATAATACATCCTTAGGAAGTTCATCGACTGGAAATTTCTTCTGTGATAAATTTCTTTCTATATCCGAAATGCGCATTTTTAAAGAGTCCAATTGGTTAAGTGCATAACATTTCAGTGATTGGGAATTTGGATAAACTTTATTACAACGAAGAGATTTTAGGATATCGATTATTATTTAAACAGTCATTTATAAAATCTAAACAAGTTTTCGCTTCTGTGAGTCTGGCATTATACTTCAAGTACTCATTGAGTGCCTTTAATGCATTGATTCTTATTTTCGTTATGTTGATGATACGTTTATTATTCTTGATGTGAAAGCTGACATGAATGAAATGTTAAAAAAGTTTAATGATGCACATCCCTCGCTCATCTTCACTTGTGAAGAAGAATATGATGGTGGACTACATTTGACGTCCATCTGATATCTATGGTCGGCCTGCAAATTTTGGGCTACCGATATCCATGCTGAAAATTCCATACTTGTACCGAAAATACAGTGTGGAATCAAGCTGTAAATCAAAAATCAAAAATAAAAATAAAAATAGATGGTTCACTCAAGAGAGATGTCTATAGAAAACCTACATCTGTAGGACAATATACACATTTTCCCAGTTTTATACCAATCCGATACAAAATCAATTTGGTCAGATGTCGCCTTACGAATAGAGCAAGACGTATCTGTACAAATGACTCCCTAGAAAATGAGCTAGGATACATTCAAAATACGTTGGTCTAAATAAGTTATCCTAGTAGATTTGTAAGGAGACACATGAATGCCAAGTACAATAAAGAAAAACCGACAACAGTTAAAAAGAAACAAATGTTCATGAAATTGCGATGTAACTGGGACGTGGCTAGCGAAGTCTTACATCAGAGATTATCGAGAGTGATAAAACGGACTTATACTGACGCCATCCTCTGTTTGTCATTTTCTAGCCGACCAATTTTGATTGCTCAAGTGAAAGATAAGCTACCTAGCTGTGCCACTTCCATGTGTATCTATAAATTTAGTTGCTCCTGTCGAGGAAGCTATATAGGCCGAACAACTAAACAGGTTAACAAACGCATTAATGAACATCTTCCTTCATGGTTCGGAAAAGGTCAAATAAAATCAATACGAAGTTATATTTTGGCTCATTTGATTGATAGTGGTCACCAAATGGACAAAAATAGTGCCTTTTAAAGTTATCTATCGCATTCCATCGAGTCTTTCGAACGGAATCATAACCCGTCTTTTACACTTAGCCGAAGCTATGGGAATTCTAGAGAACAATCCTAGTCTTTGTATACAAAAGAAATTTGTTCTACCTTTGTCTCTCCCTTGCTTGCCTAGGTGAATTCTATTCAAAACCCTCCCACCCTTTCTTATCATCCATCTCCTTCGTACTTTTATGCAATTTATTATTTGAACTCTGATTATCGTTCCATTTCACCTTTTAAGATTTGACCTAATTTATTTATTGAATCGTCTACATATACACATATATGCATATACTATCTTTGTTATTCTTATCGTCACCTGCATAAACCTTATTATCAATATTTTGTTATCATTATAATCATCGTTATTAACTTCGTCCCAAACTTTTACCACATTATTATTATTTGATCCATAAAATCACCGTCATTGGTTAAAATTTTTTATACATAAGTCTATGTAAATTAGAGTAAAGCCTGAAGAAGATCTGATTGCAAAACAACAATATTGTTCGCTTGCATGTCTTGTTCTAATACAATTGATATGATGATGAACAATAAATTTTGTTCGAAACCTCGTCATCCAGTGACTGTGACATTTAATAAACTAACTAATTTGGAGTGAATTCTGTGATGACATTTGTCGGACGTGCTCTGTTTGAATATATGGTGTGAATGCAGGCGTGAACCAGTTAGCAACAAGTATATTGTCTGTCACCTATCGGCGGGTGGCATCAAACCAACTGATTCAGCTTTGCGGGTTGATATCATCTTTTCTGATGTTTTGTGTTCGCTTTTTTGATCCATAATTCCGTTTGTCTTTGCTCTGCTTTACCTTTTTTGTTTGCATTCTGTTTTTCACTCTTATGCTAGTGTGAATATTTCTCCTTTGTAGCCATCTCCGTGAAACAGAGTTATAATCTTACAAACGCTTCTTCTCCCACTGACCCATGTAATGACTTCTATCAATATGCTTGCTCTGATTGGGAAAATAATCACACTATTCCGAAAGGTGAATTGGGTATTACAAGGAAGTCGGAAATCCAAAATTATGTACGTCGTGACATCTGGAAAATAATTGGTAAGAATAGTTTGTGAGCTCACATCACATTTTTTAACTCGTCTCACATCTATGATGATGTTAATATGAATAATAAGTTCCCGCTGAACTATCCTACTACAAAGAAGGCTGTTTCAGTTTGACATCTAACAGTTTTGTTAGTCATGATAGAGAAGATTTGTAGCTCAGGTGGACGATTTTCATGTGGTTGTGTTCTCTGAGCTAGTTGGATAGTTAATTTGCGAAGATTTCATCGCCCCCTACTAGGCGACATCTTCAGTGCATACTTCAATTCACTAAAGTGAGTTTTTAGATTTCTCCACGAGTTTATTAATCATCTCTCCCAGTGGGTGACCTTGGACGTGATTGGTTGTTTTTGTGTGTTTTCACACTTTCTAGGTTACTTGTATTCGTACTGATTGTATCATCGACTTGAACTTTGACCCTATGTGCATGGTATTTCCTTCTTATTGGTTGATAAATTTTGTCTATTTCGATGTTTCTATTGATTGATGATTCACTGGAATACCAGGCAGGCTTCTAAAAATTCTCTAGCATTCTTGTTGTTTCCTTTGTCTAATGTCTGAACGTTGTCCCAGTCGAAATAATGTCCGTGGTTGTCTGCATGTAGTGATATGAGTGGTGGAGTGGATATCATGTCTTTTGACGGCTAGCTTATGTTCGTGGATACGAAGACGAAGGGGACGTCCACTTTGGCGAATGCCGTCAAAAGACATTACATCTTTTGGGGATTATTTAAAAACGAAATTGTTACATTGAGAAAGACGCTAAAAGCTGGTGGCAGAGTGAGTGAGGTATCGCTCAACCAAATTGTCAATACTTCTGTAGGCGGACACATGGAATCATGCAAGAAATTAACAAATATTCTTTTGAATAAGGCATTTAGAAGACGAATTTCACGAGATGATATCGTCATTTCGTGGTGTCTTTACAGTCGCTTTACAACTAACATGGTTAACAATAATAAAATAAAGTTCATGACAACTACTCAGTTATATAAAAAAAGTACATACTAATGACCAGTGATATTTAGATAGACCATGTTGTCCATGGTAGGCGAAGGCTGAAGTCTATTGTGTTTTTGTACACACAACTTAGGCTGTATGTGATTAATCCCCAAAGTGCTTCCATCACCTTCAATAATCTTGAATTAGAGTTATGTGTGATGTGATAATTGCGAAACAGTCATTATTATTGATTTTGTGACCTGGCATTAATAAGTGCTTTGCAATCGATGATGCTGGATTCCTATTCAGGCTAATTGCATTGCGATTTTCTAAATGATTTAAGAACCATTTTGGAACAAATTCCTTTCGACGACGTTGGAAGATTCTGTTGGTTCTACTTATATGGGTGTCACTGCAGCTGCAGGTGAACTTGTAGATAGAGTTTGAAGTGGAGTCACAGAATTTCGTCCTTTAATCGTAGGTACAAGGAACGAAAATGCTCGACAAGTGAGAAAAAGAGATGTGGTGGCATAGAATGTGCGTTTGATGGCTGACCTAAGTCTTTGAGCTGTCAACTGCATAATCTGGTCATCCTCGAATGGCAGGTTAATAAACCCAGCTTTCTTTGATGGGAGCAAAACTGGTAAAATAAAGATAGTGTCCACTCCATATCTGTTTACGAAAAATAGATCGCATAATCGTTCCATCATCTCTCCTGGTCATTGTAATATCCAGGTAACCGAGTTTTTCATTCCATTTTAGTTCGGAAATCACACTCGGATATTTGAATAAATAGGGTAATAAAGTTTTCAATGGATTTACTATTACAGGATTTTCATCATGAGCTGACATTAGTTAGAGAACCATTGGAAAACCTGAGAGTACTAAACAGCTGTTTCGTTCTAGTTTGAGACTGTTCAGCAGTACGCACCCGCCCCCACGGTTCGAATCCAGGATCTTCTGGTTACAAGGAGAGCTCGTATACCATTAAGCCACTGGGACCCGATACAAAGGCCGCGCTAGCCCAGGTGCTGTCCAGTTCTCTTTGGTTTTCCAATCGTTCTCTAACTAATGTCAGCTCATGATGAAAATCCTGCAACTAATCATATCCTTACAAACCAACACTTGGGGATTTACTATTATTACCAGTTCAGAAAGCCACTTCAGTTCAAATCAGCTGATTTCTGGACAGCTACATATGAGCGAACTGGCAATATCATGCAAATCAAACTCTCAGCCTGAAAATTATTTTGGCCCCGAATGAGCAAGATGGCTGCCTGGTGCTGAGATCACTTCGATCTGGCTAGCAGTCAACACGCGTTGATGTGAATAGCATCCAGCTACTTATTTCCAGAAATCAGTAGTATATAGTTGTTTGCAAATATTTCTGTTGATTTCGTCAATTAAGTACTGAGTGCAGTAAAATCCATAAATTGAACGACGGAATCGACGTTAATGCTCGGTGAAACGAAAACTTCTGATTGAGAATTTAATTCAATGATGTATCGTCCTTCACTTATGTCTCTGTTTTGACAGAGCAAGTGGATATCACGTGAAAAATGAAACTTTATCCACTTTCATTTTGAGATGCTGTCAGTTAGGTAAACTTCATACATTTATTCGCCTTAATGAATTTGAATAAAGCAAGCATTATAGTTTTTGCAGAGTAAAGTGGTATCATCATCGGTTATTTACTTGCCTTCTCGTCAGCTGCTTACAGGCCGAAGAAATATGTAAAAATATTTACAGAAACAATTTTGACAAACTTAAACAAAAACCAATCGATCAGTATCTTATTATATTGTTATTGTACGCTTGGGTTCCTAGTGGAACAACGGCTTCAACTGCACGTCTCCACTTACCACTTCTGTCTTCCTTCTGCTGTACTTTTCACCTGCATCCATCCATGTTAGTCAGTCCATACTGTTTCAACTCCTCTTCATCACACAATCTCCTCCATGTCACCCACCCTTGCCCTGACATCCCAGTCGCCGCTTCCCCTTCGGCCTGGTTCCACTCGAGCAATGGCCTGACGCGCGCGCGATGTCACCCAGCGCGGCCTACTCAGCCACGAGTGTCCAATCCATCTCAATGCACTTTCTCCTGCATATTTGTTGGTTGGGCTATTGCTTCTTGTTTTGTTTGTTTGCTTGTTTGTGACCACAGTTTCCCATAGTTGGTGATTCTTTCCGGCCCGGCCGGCCGGCCGGCCATCTGATCTTCAGTATACAGCCAGCGAAGACAGTTGTTGGTTGATGAAGGTCTGCAACAGGCTGTTGGAAATATTGTTTGTGATCCGCCCGCCCGCCCGCCAAGTTTCTGATCCGTTCCGTGTATACAAACTGACTGACTTGACTTTGTTTGTATTGGAAATCCGACTGGATTTTGTTGTTGATGCTGGCTGGCTGAGTGACGAAGATTGCTATCCAGATTGGTTTCAGTTGGTTGATGAATGTGTGTGTTTGTCGCCCCCCACCCGATTCTCGCTCGATTTGACATCCTCGTCCGTTTCTTGTGGCCTGTAGTTGAGTCAATGCTCCCTAGATAAGTGAGTGAGTGAGTGAAGTAACCTGTTTCAAATCCCACCCGTTGATGGTGATCAGCTACTGGCTGGATGTGTGCTGTTGTTGTTGTTGTTGGTTGTTTATTTTCATAATCTCCGTCTTGTCTATGTTCACCTGGAGTCCTCTCTTCTCCGGCCGCCTCTTCCACCAGTTTGTCGGTCGGTTTTCGTCTGTAAGTCTTCGATTTTGTGTGACATCAAACATAAATCATCGACACGCGAAATCCACGTCTTCTACGTTCTTCACGACGCTCCAGGATATCCCTGTCTTCTCGTTTCTCACTGACTGTCTGACCCCTAATATATATATATATATATATAGTTGAGCAACGTGGGGCTCGGTCAGTACCTGCATGGTGACCGGCTTGGTATTTCGGGTGTTTCCGGCTTTTTGTGCTTCGGTGGCACAGTGGTTAGGACTTTCCCGATCATGCACATGGTCCGAAGTCCAATCCCCTGTCGACGCACACCTGATATCTATGGTCGGTCTGCAAAATTTGGGCTACCAATATCCATGGTGAAAATTCCATACTTGTACCAAAAATACAGTGCGGAATTAAGCTGTAATGAAAAATAAAATAAAAAAAATAAATTATATATATATATATATATAATAAACACTATTCCGAACAATAATAATCATACACAATGGAAACTTTTCAGCATTTCTCATTCACATGAAAGAGAGATGAGAAATCTGCAGTTGCCAAGCAGGGTAATGACAGACTGATTACCGATTCTTTCTGGACGCATAAATCAGGTGTCAGGCGTTTGATAGAGATGGCTTCAGAAAGCTTGAGGAGAATAGGGCTCTTTTGTCTATTGATAATTTTGAACGACTTTCCGACGTCCACCTCATAACCGGTGTCAAGGAGATGCCTGGCGGTGGCAGTGTTGAAACACTATCTATGGTAACTAGAAAAATATGGTCTTTACTGACGTAGAGTTTTGATAATTTCTCCAAAACGCTTTATACGTACGTCTTTGAACATGAAAGTGATCAGTACAGCAATTCATTCAGATCCAGTTGGAATATGTGAATCCTTTGGTAACAGTTTGAATAGTTAAGTCGTGCAAGTGTTGGTATATGCCAGGTTGAAGTTGCGGCGGTCATTTGCTGAAATGTATGCGTGTTATAAGTTTAACAGCTTTAGACTGTTTTGTCAACTAATATTAATTACACATTGATGAGATTTCCTGTTCTATATTACCACACAGCTAATGGGTCGTATTCCACTAATGATACTCGGCTAAATACTGTTCGTAAATTCTACAAATCCTGTGTGGAATATGGAAATATTTCTCTCCAGGAGACAAGAAGGCAGACAACTCGTTTGATTGAAAGATTATTTGGTGGATGGGATTTGTTGTCGTCTTCTTCGCAGAATCTCTCCGAAACATCAACGCCACAACAGGGAGTTGACGATTTCAATTTAGATGATATCTACTTTCCGATTCTGAGCATCACAAAAGGCTGTCCTTTATTTTCAATTGATATTAATGGGGGAACCCAAACGATCCATGTAAGCAAGCTGTATAATTAATACTGATTAGGTGCTTTATTATGATGATATATTAACTTGACAAAGAGTACTAATTTAACCTACCTCCCTATTCGGCGCTATTTTCTGCTGGTTTATTTACGGTGCACAGCAGTACACAGGATAACTTTGCAGTTATTGCTGTTTGTCAGGATATAAGAAAGAACTGCAGCTTGAGGTATACTACTGAAGACTTTCAGCGGAAGATTACCATTCAAATCCTGCTACAGTGTATTATCAGACATCCGTAGAGTAGGGCTGACGGAAATTTTTATTAAGTCACCCCACATCACAGTATTTTTCTGTGCAGAACCCTCACCTCCGACTGACGAAAACGTCTTGTGGATTCCATATACCGACACAGATCTCTCTCGCTTTCTGTGTGCTTACATTTCTCTGTTAGTTAAAAGTGATAGTGAATTACAATCACAAAGAAATGGTGACCGACAGTGTGGTTTCATGATTTCTATCCAATAAACCGAACAAGTCGGTGGCACAGCGGTTAGGATGCTCGCCGACCATGCACATGGTTCAGGGTTCGATCCCCGACCGACGCACTCCATTACCTCGCTAAGCTAGTAATAAAGCTGGTAAAGAAGGAAGGTTGGGCATGAGGCCAGCAACCCTATCCTGTAAAAATGATCATCACTGCTACAGAAACTTCAAACCTTCTAGCTTTAAGCACTATGTTCCACTAGACAACGTGAAGGAAAAAAAGCCGAACGTTAAGTTTAGGTTAAAAAGGGCTGAGTTGGAATTAAGCAAAAACAACGGTTTGTTTGAGGGAAGTTGGTGTCATCATCGTTTAATTCATCGGTTTCTCTTCACTGAACACAGAAATTGTTAAACGTAAATTTAGCACCTCACATATGCGAAGGTGTATATAAATACCAGCAACAGAAACTGTCCCTAATTCACTCGACAACAAAGAGTTTGCCAACCACTACAAATTAGTATACTGGCGGAATTCTACATACTGTATAATTGAACAGGTGGATCAACCTCTGTTCCGGTGAGGAAACCTAAAGGTCCAGGATATCGTGATTAAATTTTTAACCCTTCAGACAACGAAAGTGTTTCAGTGGGGTGAGTCAATAAGGACAAAGCGAAGTCTTGGGATAGAAACAACTTCCAGCAAAACAATAGTCACTTGTAGAGTCTTGAAATTGCCTAGAAGAATTTATTTCTTATCTGCAGGTTACTATTGGCAGTTCACTTTATTGTGATGCATGCATTAGCAGTCGTTACGTTGATATTCTTTAAAATTGTCAAAAACATGGATACTGAACAAACAGTACTCTTTTCGACTACCTTTTCTTCATCAGGATCTACATTTATACGTCGGACTCTACAGTTATGTATATACATTATAGTGAATGAATGAATGAATTAGTGTGATGAACAACATTAATGTTCCTGTTTAAATAACATCGAATCAATAATATTAATAGATTACAGCTCAGTAGCATCAACATAAAATAAGCTAAACGTCAGAAAGAATTAGGAAAGATAATATTTACAAATTCATGAATATATAGTCTCTTCTGAAGGCCGGTCAGACCAATAGTAGGGGCTGGACTTGCTTCTTTTGAACACACAGCACTGGTTGTTTGAGGCGAATTGCAATAGCCTCTGTTGTTTGGAGCATACGGTGCTTCGATGATTTTGGGAATTTATTAGGCACCCGGTAGATGATGAAAGAGAAGGATTCTTCAATGCTAGCTAGCTGGCTTTGTGGCCGGTTAGCACCAGATGGTCCAAGATTGAACTGTTAATAGTTTCAACTACACCTTTACTCAGCCATACTAGGAGATGGTCTCGAGAGAGTACGAAAAATTGAGTTCCTAGAGCAACAGCCAATATAACTCTCTCCACAAGCGCAGTCGAATTGGTTTACAGATAGTGAGTAGGCCATTTCCGTCGCTTTCTTTGTCATGTTTTCTTGATAAATTTGTCGGGATAACCATTCTTTAAAATCCTAATTCTGTTTAGATTTCAGGTGGAAGATTCGCTTCCTATAAGGGCGCTTGTGAAAAGCAGGTAATTATTTCAAAAATCTACATTTATTCAATAAATTCTCACCAAATCGGAAGGAAAATAACAATTGTATGCAATAAATAAAAGTTAAATAATAATGGATCAACCAGTGTGGACGATCGATTGATTCGAATACTCGTGACTTTGCAAATGAAACATTTTGTGATTATTTAAGTGTTGGTTTGTGACGATTTGGTTGTTTGCAGGTTTTCATCATGAGCTGACAGTAGTTAGAGAACCATTGGAAAACCTGCCAGGCAGTACTCGACAGGTGTTGTGATAACTTTGTAATTACTTTCAGTTGAAATCCACTCTTTAGTCACTTTCGGCTACTGACTGTGAATTAAGTGTTAATTTGATTTATTTTGATAATTTCGCAGCCCGCATACTGTCGCACAGTGAGATGATATCGTCTGCATGCATACTCGAGGTCAAAAAAGTCTATCTCCAGGTAGCAGATCTACACCACCTATACACACACATCCTTCAGAGCTGACTCCAGAATGTCATCGATGGCAAAGTTAAAGAGAAATGGAGAGATAGGGCAACCCTGTCTAACCCCACTGTTTGGTGTTGGGAACAGTGATGATAGTTGGTTGTATGCCCTCACTCTACCTGAGTAGGTGTTTCTGTATAGGGCTTTCAATATGTTAACAAATTTCCCAGGTACACCTCTCTCTAACAGACAGTTCCAGAGCAAAGTTCTCTCCAACGAATCGAAGGCAGCTCTAATATGAAGAAACACAACGATCGTTGGCCTGCAATACGTATGGCGGTGTTCCAGCAACTGACGAAGGGTGAACACATGATCAGTGCATCCACGACCTGAACGAAACCCAGCCTGCTCTTCGCGAATCAATCCCCTACGTATTTTGCACAGCCTTTGAAGCAAGACAGCAGTCAATATTTTAGACGCGACTGGTAGCAGACTGATACCCCTATGGTTGTCGCACAAATTATGCCTACTTTTTTAAAGATAGGGACGATCATGGCTTCGTTCCAAATTGATGGTACACTCTCTGTCTCCCATACTTTCCTGAACAACCCGGTTAGAGCCATTATGAGAGTCTCACCACCATCTTTAAAAAGAGCCGGGGGTAAATTGTATGGGCCAGGCGCCTTATGGCGTTTCAGCACTAGGAGTTCCTTACGGATCTCCGCCTCAGTGGGTGGGTCGGTACTAATCGACCAAGAAGCACTGGGGCTACTGACAGTAGACACTGAAGCTGTTGGCCAGCTAGACTGTTTCCCGAAGTGCTCTGCCCAGCGTTCCAGCCGTCTTTTCAAGCTGGTAATTGTTGTGCCATCTGACCCACAGACCGTCTCGCTGACACCTTGTTTCATGCTGCCAGTGGCTCGGATGAGTTGGAACAGCTTCCGACTGTTGTCAGATGCAGCAGCTGACTCCATCTCACGCTCACGTTTTGACCACCGGGCTTCGCGGTCCTTACGTAAACACTGTCTAATCTTGCGCGTGAGAGCCTTTCGCTTATTGTTGTATTCGCTGCCAGCCGGAATGGCCCGGCGTTCATCCAGGAGTTGCAAGGAACTCGCAAAAACCCAAAGGTTTTCAGCGGAGCATTCTTTCAGGCCACAAGAGGCTACACTCGCCCTTTGCATGGCACCTTGCACATGAAGCCAATGTTCATCTAAACTACTTGGAGAGTTGCTGGCAAGCATTGATTGTAACTCATTCTGGTATTTCAAAGAAGAAGCAGGTGCTACTAGTTCGCTCATATAAACGTTTAGGCGACGGCTTTTATGAACGCCACCAAATCGCATGACGAACTTGGTACACACTAACGCATGATCGGAGTCCAGGCATGTGCCCCAGAAGGAGCGACAGTCTTGTATGCATCCTCGCCACCGAAAACTGACAGCAATATGATCAATCTGAGTCCAAGCTTGATTCGCAGAGGGAGGATGCCAGGCAGCGCTACGTCGATGGCTGTGCCGGAAGGTGGTGTTGGCTAGAAATAGGTTGTGATCCGCGGTCCCCATTATCTGACCTGCGACGATGTAGGCCCTACTGACAACCTAGACGATTCTCCTCTGAGCTTAGACGCCCGACCTGTGCAATCGAGTCCCCAGCCAGCACTACAATATCCCTCCCACCTGTCCATTTCAAAAGATCGCTCAGTTGGCAGTAGAACTCATCCTTCATTGCATCCGGGCTGCAATCCGTCGATGCATAGGCAGAGAAAACAAATAGACACCGCCTATCTTGCCTACTACTCCTTACTTTCGTATAACCTTCTAGCCTCACAGCACATAAACGACTGTTAATGGGAATCCAGTCGAGCAGTGCAGCTTCGGCTCTAGCGCTCAGTGTGACACCGACACCAGCTACGCCGGATGCCGACACCACAGGGTCCCCGGATAAGCGCAGGTGGTACATACTACTAGAACTTCTAGATGGAGAGAATAGTTGAAGCACTTCACTGGGACCTCGAATGCGACTCTCCGAAATGTAGCAGACATCGATAGCGAGACTTCCCGAAATTCTTACCAACCCTGCCTGTTGTCCAATTCGCATCAGCGTCGGAACATTGTAGGTGGCCAGCTTGAACGCGACACACGGTTTCAGGATATTTGTGTTAGATGTCACATTGAAGACAACCATTTTGATGGTTACTCACTAACACCTCGAAACAACACGAATAGGCTAGGAACTCAGGCAAAGGCGAAAGGCTGTCGAAGGTTAACAAGTCAAGGTTAGCAAAGGTGAAATACAAGAATCTAAGCATAAAAATAAAAGTAAGGTTGGAAGGACATAAGTTGTTTGAGGGATCATTATTGCTTGAAATCATTTTTACTAGCGCACGATGAATCAAATACTGCCCGGGCGCCCAGACTGAAGCAGGTGGTTTTCTTAAGAGACCACCCTCCGAGCCTTAGACTTGGAGTCTTATCCGCAAGGCAGCGAAGCAGCGTCAGGAGCTGCATTCCCATGGTTTCCGGTGTCCCGTATGGGTTCATACACCATATGGTCCAAATGGATTCTGGAGCCTATGTATCCCATGGTAACTGCTTACAGTCTAACCGCTATCCGAACAACCTTCCTAACATGGTAGAACCTGCCCGGACATGAGTACCACCCAGTCTAGCTTGTGGGGTCACTGCGGTATTCAAGCCTGACCACCACGGCAAGGTAGCTCTTGTCGGCCAGGTAAAGCAGGCGAACACCTCATCCCGGCGGGACTCGAACCCGCAACCACCGGAATAGAAGTCCGACGCGCTATCCATTGCGCCACAGGGACCGCCGCGCAATAGGGAACGCAAACATATGGAACGCTTCAGGATTTTGCCTGTCATCCTTGAGCAGGAGTCATGCTAATCTTCTCTGTATCATTCCAATTTTAGTATATGTACCACCGAAGCGAGTACGCTGTTTCTTGAATGTCAGACCACCTATATGTTAACTGTATCCACCTACGCAAAGTCTTTTTTCCCATTTTTTCACTACCAATATTGGGGACATAAACATTTACGTAAATTACTGTCCACTAATTTTGGCTAACAACTAGCTCTCACCACAATATTACTGTGCAACACTGTGTGATTTATCAAAATAAAATCTTATCCATTATGAATTTATGCCCTACCACAGTGCCCAAGTTTTATACTTATATCCATATTATAAGTAACTAGCAGTGGATTCATTGAGAACGATTTTAGCCGTGTCACCAATATAATCTTGAGGCTTCATTGGTTTTTACCACCCGATTGACTCGTACCAGTCAGGCGTTTCACACCTTCCTAACTGGTCTGTCTGTGTTCCTCAAAATGACGAGAGAATGGCTTTGTCTGATGTCTCATTCATGACATAAATGTCCTTGATTTCACACTGTATATCCATGAATAATTTCATTCGTAAAATTTTCTGTAAACAGGTGTATGCTGAAAATATTGCGCCAAAGTATTACGAAAATGCGTATAAACTGGGAGTATCCCCAACCGAGGAGAGCAAGTTGCAAGCTGCTTTTGAATCGCACACACGTTTGTGTCATGTACGTTTTCCTTTAACCTTGTAACATATTGACAATAAAATTTCATATGGAATGTGAATTTCAGCTGGTAGTATATACTCATGTATACTCGAATAAACTGCAGGTTGTTTTGCTCGAAAAACAGAAGTATGATGAGTATCTCAACTCATTACGAAGCAAATAAATTGGATGCGTTATCAGAAGACAGAGACTATCTGCAAAATGTGATGTGATGTATTTGCGCTATACATTTCGAACAATCTGATCCCTTACACATTCGCTTGTCAAGTCGATATATATGAAAAAATTTAAATTAAACAAAGTGACAAAAAAAAGATGTAAGAATGATTAACACAACGTTTTCTGTCCCATTAAACAATATTTCAGACTTTGCAGTTGACTGTCAGTTTGAAAATTTGTATGATCAGTTGAGTTCTCTAACTCCTTCATCGACAGGTAGCCAAAGTCAGTTGAAAGTTAAATTTGTAGATGTAGCCCACACCAATTCCGTAATTCAAGTTGGAAACAAAGAAGCATCTTAAGATCAACTCATTTTAAAGCCCTAAAGGAATTACGTAGTAGATCCGATTTAGTTATTTTGAAACCTGACAAAGGATCTGGTGTAGTTGTAATGGACAGAAATGATTATAAAACAAAAATGTTAGCCATGCTGATGTTCCTTCGGATGATATCAGAAAATTGGAAGGAAAAGTAACTTCTCACTTAGTAAAACCTCGTGGCATGGACGTTATCGATAAACAGGAGTTTAATTCCTTGAAACCCATGGGATCTGACTTTCCAAACCTCTATGGACTACCTAAAATTCATAAGGTTGACAATCCATGACGTCCAATTCTTTCAATGTGTAACTCTCCTACACATAAACTAGCAAAATCGTTAGCTGGTATTTTAAGTCCAGTACGCAACGAATTATGTAAGTTTACTTTGAAAGATACTTTTGAACTTGTTGACTGTCTTGTAGATATTACCATAAAAGATAGGAAAATGTATTCATTTGATGTGAATTCTTTGTTTACTAATGTACCATTGATTAGGACTGTTGATATTCTTTGTGACTATATTTCTTCTAGTTGTTTTTCATTCCCTTTCCCTTTAATTCATTTGAAAGATTTATTACTATAATGTACTGACAGCGTCCATTTTTTGGACACACTTCTGAGTCGAAGAAATGATGGTTCAATAAGGCGATCATCAGTCTACAGAAGGCCCACTTGGACAGGGTAGTACCTTAATTTTCACAGTTTCTGTCCATTACAGTATAAGAGAGGCTTGGTGAAATGTCCATTTATTAAGAGGATTCAACGTATTTGTACGGCTGACGTTGTAGACAAAGAAAACGAAATATTGATAGATACTCTTGATAGATACACGTGAGGGTGGGAGAGCATATCCCGAAATGGCCAGGAAAACAAATGAATTATGAGAAACCAATAGATGCATGTGGCAGACTACCAACTTCGTCTATAGCTAAACATCTAATCGAGATGAACCATAAGATTGATGTTAACTCAGCCTTCAAAGTCATCTATAAAAACGGTGAAGGGCGCTTATTGAAATACGCTGAGACTATAGCTATTCATAAACTTATTTGATTGGATTACCAAAGTTTGTGTTAATCATCCTTAAATCCTATTTTAGTCACTTTGTTTAATTCAGCTCTTTCATATATATAGACTTGACGAGTAAATGTATGAGGGATCAGATTGTTCGAAATGTGTAGCGCCAATACGTCACACCCCATTTTTCAGATAATCTCTTTCTTTTAATAACGCTATCCAAATTTATGAGAGACTAATTGTTTTACATTAACTGAAATTACTGTTTAGTCCTGAACGCTCTGGATTAAAGTCTGTTGGTATTCTATGCAATCTGACCACCAGACTAAGTCATATGACACTAAATGTGCGTTATCACACTGATCAGGATTTCAGATGAAAGGTTGTAGCTGTCAACAGACATGAGATTCGAGTTTTTGTTACTGACTATGTGAGCCTGTGCTATTTTCAATAAGTTCCTTCTAAAATTTAATTTGCTGGAAAGCAAATTGATACCTGGCTTTCCGAGGTGGAAAGAAGAATAAAGATAACAAAACAAAACCAAGTGTAGATTGTTGAATTTGATCAGTGTGTAAAATTATAAAATCAGCAACGTGTGTTTACATAATGAGATTGCTTATCACATTCATGTTGATTTTGTTATTTCATGGGGGATAGGAGGAGGTGTTGTAACCAGGTCAGATTCTGATTTAGTCCATCATTCCTATACAGGCAATTTGGATTCCCTCTGATGATATCAAGTGTTTTGTATTTTACACTGGTTGGCGATATTAGGTGTTCTTTGTGATTACTGAGATAATCCAGAAAAAGCAATTCAGAAATCACAAAGAACGTCTCACATCATCAGAAGCACTTCATATCATCAGAGGGAATCCAAATTGCCTGTATAGGAATGATGGACTAAATCAGAATCTGACCTGGTTACAACACCTCACTCCCATCCCCAGTGAAGTAACAAAATCAACACGAATGTGATAAGCAATCTCATTATGTAAACACACGTTGCTGATTTTATAATTTTACACAGTGATCAAGTTCAACAATCTATACTTGGTTTTGTTTTGTTATCTTTACCAATTGACCAACTTGGCAACGAAAAATGACGCCATACTGAGGAACGATGATTAAGTTGTTATATATAGGCTGAGGAGATTTTGTAAATTCTGGTTCAATACTACAACTTTAATAAAGCAACTATAAGCAGCAGCATTAAATAGCGAAACATCAATAAAAACGACAATATCGTTTTGTTTTTCATTTATTGGCAAATATGAAAAGAAAACCTTTATTGTAATGAATATCATATACCCAAAGCTCAAATTTTTTCAAACTGATAAAAGTGAAATTGGTTTGGACATAAACAATCTACTCACAGAACGCTTGTATCCACAAGTAGATAGATGGTAAAGGGAGTTGATATCTCTTAGCATTTTAATGCATTGTGAGAGAAAATTAGCCTGGAATACATGAGTCGATCAGTTTATTTATTTATTCCATGTATGCTGACAATGAAGAATATTCAGTCACTGTGAATCAAGTGAAGCGATCGTACCACACCATATTCACACCACCAACAACAGACAACAATCAGACAGCCAGCATAAATGGGAGGAACCTGAAAGAAACAACCTCCTTCACTCACTCACCTACCGGGAAAGCATCGTTTCAACTACAGGCAAATGGAATTGACGAGGATATCAAAGCGGCGAGGATCGGGAAAGCAATACAAGCTTTCATTACTCTCAAATGTGTGTGGAGGTCAACACTCAGCACTCAGCGTGAAAATGAAAATAAGGTCCGGATTTTCAACTCAAATGTGAAGTCAGTGCTACTTGCTATGCGGATCAGAGACTTGGCGCGCCACGAAATACATATCGAACAAACTACAGACCTTCATCAGCAGCTGTCCCCGCTCAATACCACTCAAGATCAAATGGCTGGCCAGAAAAGATCAAAAACAGGGATCTGTGGGCACGAACCAACCAGGAACCGATTGTGTAACAAATAAACAGGAAGAAATGGAGGTGAATTGGCTGACCATACTCTGAGAAAACAAACCATCAAGTGACATCACACGACAGGCCATCGCTCGAGTGGAACCCGACTGAATGGGAAGCGGCGAATTGGTCATCAGTGCAAGGTTGACTTGGAGGAGGTCATATGAAGAGGAGATGAGAGCATGTGGGCAGACTTGGAGCCAGGTGAAAACTTTAGCAGAGGAGAGAACGCAATGGAACGGAGCAGGTGAAGCCCTGTGTTCCTCTGGGCATTAAAGCAAATAATATTAATATTCACACCAAATATTACAGAAATATAAAAGTGAATTGCGAACAACAGAAAACACCGTGATGTGGTGGTGTCTTCTCTTAAAAATCTTCGTGCAAACCTATTCTGAAATGATAGTGAAGTAAGAGATTTCGTTTCATTGCATTCATTGATAAGCTGTTCATTCTTCTATGAAGGTAACATGACTTGTTTTCATCAATGTACCTGATAATTTTACAGAATCTGTATGTTGCAAGGAAATCCGACAAAACTGCATATTATAAACAAGTTAAAATGAGGGAATTGAATACAATCTGTCCATTGGTAAGTAGATATAGCCGCCAGTTTATACATTTTTCTTTCACAAAATTTCATTGTAAATACTTCGATTTTTCTATACTTCACAATGGTAGTTCAACAGGGAATAACATCCTACTTTAATGCAAGACGAACAGTACTTAGAATGCAGAATGGAATTCTCAGCATTTGTCACAACACCTTGCATCTGATTTACTCAAAATATAAATAAAATTAAAACAAAGTTAACCAGAGGAATTTGTCCACGTTCACTATATAAAGTCGAAAATATTTGAAATACAAACTAAGAATATTATTAATAATAGTGAGTTTGTTTCAAACAGTATTGTATATTCAATTTGGAAATTTTAGCATGTCACTGTAGATTATTGAATCTAATCTTCTGTTGATATACCAGCATGATGAGGGGAAATACAAAATTAACAGTTATAACACAGCTTAAATGATGTTCACACTTATGAAAAATAAACAAATTAAAACAGAAAAATGGAGAGAGTTGTAAATATAAGAAGTACAATAACAATAAAGGTTGATACTGTAAGGGTGGAGGAAATGGTTTATTTAATAGTACAAAGGAGGTTAGTTGGTTAGTTCATGCCTGACACTATTTTCATCATATAAAGTACGTGCAGTGAAATATGGTATAGAGGGATTTCTATACTTAGACGTACGTGCATAAAGGCTTCTGAAAAGACTTCTTGTTTTACCTGAGGAGGAGGTGACAAAAGGTTGGAGCTGCGGGTGCTGCGGTGGATGCTCAAAGTCTGTCAAAATTCCTTCAGCGAATTTGTTGCATGACATCAGGTGCCTATCAATCACTATGGCAACGATATAGCCCAATGTGATAGCAGCCACTAGCCCTACTGACAGTCTTCATAGTCCTACGAAGTATGACATAGTCTTTCTTTTAAGCAATCCAGGAAAGAATAAGTAAGGGTGAACAGTAAAGAAGAATAGGTAAGATGCACGAGTTGACAAACTGTAAGATTATTATTATTAGGTAGGAATGTCATGGTTGAGGTCATCTGTAGACAGAATTATTGAAATAAATATAGTGAATTTCTGAGTCTGTCTCATGAGAGATTAAATACCTGACAGGCACATATAAAAAACATTCATTTTACAAAGTGTATAGACCTCTAGCATCAGATGAACTAAATACGATGAATGTGGATATCAAATTGAACCGAGTGAATAGTGAACTGAGATTCGTGCAGCTAGTGTAACCTTCTTATATTGACTGATGTGTCTAGTAACATTTATGTATATAAAGTGTGCGCGATTCAGTACAGAATCCACATGAATGAAGCATGCAAAGCGATGAAGTACTCCAACTAGAGGGATTTCAGATTTATTCGAGCTCGGGTCAACTATAAATGCTGACTATCTAGTTCTAAGGGAATTATAAACAGCAGATAGACTGACCAGAAATGTTAGATGACATGTGTGTGTGTGTGTGTGGTGTCAAGCTACTTAAATCAGTCAGTGGGATGTGTCAACTTGCGATTTCGCTTTCTTCATTTATTTGCGCCTGTAACGATGTCACGCAGGTGACATATTTTGATTTGAGGATTCTAGATTATGTGATTCTGAGGAATTCCAGCTCATTTCAACACATTTCAATATTTTAAATGACTTCAGACAGAAGGTAGTGCCTTCAGTGAAAGAAACCAAATTAATTCTGAACTGAAAACAGACAAGTCAATGTTAGGACAGAATGCATCATGGAATCAGTCTAAAAATTTCCTGCATTTACTAGTCACATAGTTGGTTGGTGGGAAATCCCTCAGGGGTACGAGGAATTTCAGTCAACTGTTAAGATCAGTATTGTTTGAAAGTAAAAGAGAAATGGATCTGCAAAAATCCAGATCAGTAAATGAACTTTGTAATCTGGCAAACGGTGAATAGTCGTTTCTTAAATCTTGTAGCATCATTATTCTTGTCTAAACTGATAAGGAAATCTGTTTAGAGGAATTTCAACTCAAAAGCCGTCTGTTTGTGAACACTGTTCTCTTTGAATAGTACCACCATCATCTACAAAATAGTTGTAACAACTGAGAAAAACACTACATTGGCCGAAGTGGACGTCCCCTTCGTCTTCGTATCCACGAACATAAGCTAACCGTCAAAAGACATGATATCCACTCCACCACTCATATCACTACACACAGACAACCACGGACATCAATTCGACTGGGATAACGAACGTTCAAATATTAGACAGAGGAAACACAAAGAATCCTTGAGAATTTTTAGAAGCCTGCCTGGTATTCCAGTGAATCATCAATCAATAGACACATCGACATAGACGAAATTTATCAACCGATAAGAAAGAAACCTAACAAATACAAAGGGTCAAAGTTCAAGTCAAAGAAACAATCAGTTCCAATACAAGTAGCTGCCTAGAGGGTGTGAAAACACACAATCACTCACGAGGTTGAAGGTCACCCACTAGGAGAGATGATCACTAAACTGGTGGAGAAATCTAAAAGCTCACTTCAATGAATTGAAGTATGTGCTGCCGATGTTGCCTAGTAGGGGGCGACGAAAGCTTCGCAAATTAACTATCCAGCTAGCTCAGAGAACATAACCACATCAAAACCACTAACCTGAGCTACAAATCCTCTCTATCATATCTTTGAATATTTCCCAGAACACTGTCAGATCAGTAGCATAGTTTACCAATGAAACAATATAAACTATGTATTCTAAAATCAATCCTAGACTAAAGAAACCCTAATTTCAGATTCCCTGTGTGACTTAATACTGTTTCAAATTATATTAGGTAATCAATAGTCTGTCACATTTCACATCACTCTCATCAATTCCACCGAATTCATTAATCATTTTACTTTTCTGTACATTCATGTTAAGATGAATTGGAAAAAGTTGTTTGAAAGATTATTTCGACAAATTGGATTCAAAAATTACAAAACATTCAAAATCAGTATAGCGGACACAACAGCGTTAAAATATCATTGCGCCTTACATGAAATTGAACTGTCAACACCTACTGGTAAAAGGTAAGCTTCATACTTATTAGTTCCACTGAATAAGACTGAAGAAATACTTTTCTTTATAAAGACATGCTTTGGTGGATACAAACAATGTGACTTTTTCACTTACTGAAAAGTTCATTAAAATTTGTATTTTGTTCAGTTTGAACACGGTCAATATTTCAAAGATGAACTGGACTCTTATGTTCAAATATTTCAATATAATATTGGTCAGGGACTATTTCATTTAGAGAAGCATAGAAAACCTGAGAGTATTAGACAGCTGTTTTGCTCTGGTTGGTTTGTTCTATCCCTCGACTGTTACCTTCATTAAGAAGGTAACCTCAACACTTTCAGAATGTACACATCCATGTGTCTAATTTGTTTGGTATTGTGACAATAGTCTGATGCAATCAATTTTGTTGAATGTAAATTTCCCAATTCACTTTTCTCCGGAAACTATGCTGGCTTCATTTTGTACAGCAGACGTTTTAATTTTAAAGTGTACTTTGTTCACAAATATACACTAGGAGTACGAAACGTTGTATTATCACATGAAACGTCAATTCCGATGAATGAATGAATCACAGATAAATACGACTGGACAGAATCATGCCGACTTGATATTTTCTGTATCATTCCAGGGTGTTCGACTAGTTTCCTACCACATACCGACAATTCGAGATTTTGTTGATTTCGTGACTCAATTTTGCTGCTGTTCAAATAAATAAGCATACGATATGGAGCTATACGCAGTAGCTTCATACGGTTTACAGCTGAAACTAAATGACAACACTTACTTTTATTTCTTTTCTACAGTACAATTAAGAATATGGCTATCATGGACTTTATGACATATCACGTTAACACTATTGGGCTTGAAGTGAACAGTTCAGAAAGTGCAAATTCTGAGATGGACTCAGGTACGTCATAACTATTGTTTTCGTCTGATGATAAGTGAAGTAAATCGTGCTTTCAGTGAGGATTTGATTTATTCCAACATTGATTTATGTACACTCACTCTTGCGCGTGAACCGCTTGAAGTTTTTGATAAGTTTGTGTATCTGGGTAGTTGTGTGAGTGATGGAGGAGGAGTGACAGATGAGATTTCCAACCGTATAATGAAGTCTAGGGTGGCATACATGAATTTGAGCTACCTTTGGCGCCGTCGCGACGTTATCCTGGGTGTCAAAGGTCAGGTATACAATGCTTCGATGTGAGCTGTATTTCTCTACGCCACTCCCGGTGAAACCTGGCCTCTCCGAGTAGGCTAAGGATGTTCAGCGACCCTGCGTGTTCGATCATCGCTGTCTCCGCAGGACTGTTTGTGTTCGATTGCATCATCGGGTGAGTAATTCTGAGGTTCGGTGGCGTGTGTTTGAACACAGTGGAGATCATCATTCATTGAATGTCGTCATCTGGAAACACCGGATCCAGTGGGTTGGACGTGGGCTGGGAATGTCATCCCATAGGAGGCTTCTGTACAGGTGCCTGTTCGCTAGCCAGCCCTGGGATGGGGTGGAAAAGGCGGAGGGGTGGTCAGTCCATGTGGAGGCGTCGTGGGATGAAGGATGTTTGTGCTAGATTAGCATCGTTTGGTCTGTCACGACTCCATGGTTGGGGTCCGAAAGGTAGCTCGAATCGATGGCTCGAAACTTTATTGGATATGGCCAAGAATCGTAATTAATGGCAAACGTGTTGCAATTTTGCTCCCTTCTTCCCTTCCTGATGATAGTTAAGGAATACTGCTTGAACTTATTAAGCATGACTGTTTTCCTTCCAGATGAAGTTCTTTACCCGTTCTCTACTTATATTTTCTCTTATTTTCTTTTTTATACTTTTGATCTATGTTGTTTTATTTTTATAGTGTGGAGCATCTTTCTTGGTGCCACATTGTACCGAGTGTTTTCTGCGTCCAAATAAATAAAACATGTTATGTTTGAAGTCGATGGAGCATGCGTGATATCTTACTGACTCGTTTGTTAAAAATCATTCGTCTAACATGTTTCAATTTGGTGTATGTTTTCAAAACATTTCTGTGTCTTGTTTATTCTGATTAAAGGTTTGAGCCCGAAATTCTCAGTATTTTGTATCGAACAACTGAAAGAAACATTTCCATGGACTCTTGAAAGACATTACGTTGCTCAGTACTTCAAAGAAAGTCAACGAAATGAGGTTCGTCCAGTAATTCATATTTAGTTCCATTGTCTTGTCTGTATAAGTCAGAGTTTTCGAAATTATTTTCCCACGTGAACCGGAAGCATCATGACAGTCAGTACTTATAACAAGTACAAAGAAATGTGATCATTTCTGTCCATAAATATTATAAGAAATAAGCTTACTGTTTCGAATTTACCCTCATTATTTATTTAGTGTTATTTGGTGTTGGGAAACGGGTATAAAATGGACCCCCAGGAAAACCTGGAGTATCTGAACTTCGCCGACGACATATGTTTCATTCCTCACAAGCTGGAAGATATGCAAGTGAAATGCAACAAGTTCGCAGAAGAAACATCAAAGATAGAACTAAACTTCAGGTGAATATAGAGAAAACAGAGGTGGGTAATGAAGATTCCTGGCCAACACCAACAGCCACAGCAACAACAACAGACAAAAGTCAGCCAGGATAAATGGGAGCAACCTGAAAGAAACAACCTCCTTCACCTACCTACTTACCTACCTACCTGGGAAGCATCGTTTCAACTACGGGTGGATGGAACTGGAGAGGATATCAAAGCAGCGTGGGTCGTGAAAGCAAGACAAGCTTTCATTAATCTCAAGTCTGTGTGGGGACCAACCCTCTTTACTCAGCACGAAAAATAAGATCCGGATTTTTAACTCCAATATGAAGTCAGTGCTACTCACTGCACGAAGCAGAGACTTGACAAGCGCGTCATGAAGAGCAGCTCAAACAAACTACACACCTTCATCAACACCTGCCTTCTTTTAATACCACTCAAGATGAGATGTCCGGCCAGAGAAGATCAGGAACAGTTATCCCTGGCAATGAGAGAACCAACCAGGAACCGATTTTGAAGCAAATAGACAGGAAGAAATGAAGATGGATTGGCTGGCCATACTCTGAGGAAACAAACCATCAATTGACATCACTAGACGAGCCATCGCTCGAGTGGAACTCGATTGAATGGGAAGCGGCGACTTGGTCGTCATTGCAAGGGTGACTTGAAGGAGGCCATGTGAAGAGGAGATGAGATCGTGTGGGTAGATCTGGAGCCTGGTGAAAAAGCTGGCGGAGAATTGAACGCAATGGAGATGTTCAGCCGAAGCCCTATGTTCCTCTGGAAATTAAAGGAAATTTTTTCCCTCACGTTCCCCAGTGGAACATAGGGCTTCAGGCTAGTTGCTTGAAGTTTATGTGGCAGTATTTATCTTACAGGATGGGGTTGCTAGCCTCATGCCGATTCTTCCCTATCTACCAGTTTTACTATTGGCTTAGTGAGGTCAAAGGGTGCATCGACTGGGGATTCAACCCCGGACCATGTGGATGGTCGGCGAGCGTCTGAAATTAAAGGAAATAATATTTATAAAGATAATCGATGGTGTGAAAGTCATCTAAGGCTCTGAAGTGACGGCAGGAGTAGGATAGAGCTAACTACTATCACACTTTATATTCCTAACGGCGGTACACTGTATTGTGCATCAAACTGTGAGTGAGGAGCGGCAAGACAGGAGTCCGTAAGGCAGATTAAAAGACTTAAGAAGATTACGACTTCTCGGATGTCTTAAGTTCAAAGTCACATGAACTACAAGCTCTACAGGAGAAAACCAGCTAACCGGCAGAACAAGCATCAAAGATTGACTTCAAGTGGACATACGGAATACGAAGGAGATGAAGACCATCAACTGACGACGACAACAACAACAGGCAAGAACCAGGATGGACGAGAGAAATTTGAGAGAGTTCAATCCCTTAAACGTATCTAAGAAGCACTGTGTTTAAAGATAGGCGGAACGGATGAAGATATCTGAGCGAAAAACGGGAAGGTAAGGCACACTACCATCATCGTTCTGAAATCAGTTTGGAAGTCTTCTGCATTCTGGAGCATGAAGAACGAAATTCGAATTTTCAATAAAAACACCAAGTTAGTCCTTCTAAATGGGTCAGAGACTTGCACTATTCGTCACGAATAAAATTTACAACAGGTTACTGCAGACTTACATCAACAGCTGCATTCACCGGCTTCATATTTAATAATAATGATAATAATAATTTGCTTTATTCAAAAACAGTACTTGTGATACAGAATGGAATTCTCACCATTCGCTACAGTATTGCCTCCAGTTTGTACATTAACAATAAATAAATTTCTACACAGATTAAGTGTAATCTTAATTAGTTTTGACAACAACATATTGGCATGTCGGTAGCAAGCCAAAATTGAACAGTTTTTGAACGTGTTAGAAAAGTAGATAGTAGAATATTTACTGGCGTAAGCGTTAACAAAACGGTCGAGAGTGTGAGAAAGAGCGAAGAATGTTTTAAGTAGAGTTTGTGAGGAAGAGAGAAACAAAACAGCACATAACAAAAAGAGGAGAGAGGGAGAAGAGGAAAAGAAAGGAATAAAACATTGTAGCTATAAATGATATGAGTTGGAAAGACGAGATCCAGTTGTTCTTCTGACTATTTAATTAGTTATAATTTTCACGCCTAATGCTTCATTCATCGCACAGAACACGAACGAGCCAATTAGGGTATGGTTGAGTTTTTGTACTTGCTAATGCGGGCATATAGTATTCTATATAGGCTTCTGGTTCAGGCTGATGAGATACAAGGGGAGAGGATGGTGTGAGTTATGTAAAATGGATTTTGGCCATTTCTCACATGAGTCCATGTACCTGCCGACTAGAATATTAACAAGGCAGTTGAGTGGCACACTGCTTACCCTGCTGACAACTTTTAACATCCTGCGTAATAAGATATAGTCCTTCTTCAGTAGCCCTGGAAAAACTAAGGGGGAGAATAATAGGCACGATGCAAGAGTAAGGGTTGGATTGGGTTATTCCAGAATGTCTTAACTTCTTGATGTAGAAGGTAAGACGGAATAGTTTCTTAGAAATCATCTAGATATGAGACGACAGGAAAGGTCAGCAGATAGAATTTCGCCTAGGTATTTAATTTCCAACTTGGTCTCTATTTCAGTGTCATCTATGTTGCACACCTCGTGAGCCCTAACCGGTTTATTTAGGTCAGATTTACGCCTGAAGGTCAAATTGACTGTTTGACATTTTTAAAAAGATTTAAGGCAAGACCGTTTTCCTTGGACCACTGGCTGATTTCTGATAAAAAGCCATTTAATTTGGAGCATTCGCTTTGACATCTGACAGACAAAGATACAGTCAGATCGTCAGCATATTTAACAAAATTAATGTCATTTGAAGATGGTAGGTCACGTAGAAAGAAAGAAAAGAGAAGTGGAGAGAGTACAGCACAGCAGAAGAGGATTTACCTTAGTATACAGTGTACCGCATTCTGTTTGAGAAATAAGAATGCAACCAGTTAGTGACCCAGGACTCAGTTTGTGTCATAGAGAGCTTATTTAGCAAGAGACATCTAGGAACAGAGTCCAAAGCAGAAGTGAAGTTGAGAAACGTGCAACGAACGTAATTCTATGCTACCCTAATTATGCTTTCTTTCTCATTTCAAAAACCGCAGGTTTTCAATATGGTCGATGAAATCAAGAAGACTGTGAATGATTCATTCGAAAAGCTGACATGGTTGAATGACGGAATGAAGCGCTTCGTGATTGACAAGGTTTGAATTTATTTGACTGAAATTGTATATTTAGTAATTTCTACAATAATGAACTTACAGATTTCGAAGATAAAAACCTTCGCTTTGTTTGATGGTGTGGAAACATACGAAGAGAAAGAAAATCTATCTACTATATATCGAGTAAGTCAGACGAGACGGTTGTCATTCTTCTACCACATTTTATTGAAAAGAGCTATTCTCAATAAGCAGATCGCAGTGCAGTGGAACACGCATTTTACTGAGAAACATTTAATTAACGGTAGAGTTTATTTCATCAGTAAACTATCTCAAATATATTGAGTTTGACATGAACTGTTTAAGTGCATTTTGAAAGTCTAGTGGAGCAGTGTTTCCCCAAACTAGAAATTGTGTAGCTAACAAACTTACGATCTCTGACGGAATAAAGCATGTACACTTGAAATTTCTTCACAACCGTGATAATAAGAGTGTTTCACTGAAGGTGTAATTTAAAGAAATCATTTCGCTTTATGAATTTCGATAACACAATAAGAAGACGTGGCTTATCTGAAACGTGTAATGTATCGATGCAACACATTTCGGATATTCTGATCACACACATGAGTGCTTGTCATACACAGTTTTATAGAAGGCAAGAAAGCATGAATAATAACAATACAGGTCAGATTGTGTACAGGTCAAGGTCACAAATAATGGGTGGGGAGACTCGAAGGTGTGGGTTAGGAAGACAAGAAGAGAAAAAACAAGACCGAGAAAGGGTTGAAAATATTATGAAGTAAATTGGTCCTTGGTTCTAAACCAACAGATCCCATAGAAATCCTGAGCCAGATCACCAGGGTACAAGACTGTATATCGCTAGCATACGTTAAAGAGAACAATGAATGCCTGCCATTTTTAAATGTAATAATAACCCGCCGAGAAGATGGGTCAGTAAAACGATCTGTCTACAGAAAGTCCATATGGACGGAACAGTATCTTAAGTATCCACTATGGTATAAAAACCGTTGATGAAGTGTTTGTTCAAGCGCATTCACCGAATATGTACTGCCGATATAATTGAAGAAGATAGACAACACCTCACTGAAATATTGTTAGATAACAACTACCCACAGAGATTTATTAAGCGTTACGGAAATGTCAAACATAGAGCTCTACCAATCCAATCAGCTCCCTGCCATTCAGAGGTGATTAACAAAGTCTGGTCACTAGACAAAGACTCAGGGATGCAATTAATAGGACTTATTATGCAGCTAAACTTATCTTCATAGATAAAACGAAAACTATGCTGTCCTGTAAACCCTCACATTATCAGAACGATAGTGTCACATCCCACTGCGTTTATCAATTTACATGTATGTGTGTAGACACGTACATAGGGAGGACCCATTGATCTCTGCAGGTAAGGGCTACAGAACACATTCCAAAGTGGCTGCAACAACAAATGAAACCGCCAGACACAATTGATCCCTGCAATAGATGTCCAACATCATCTGTAGCGAAGCATATTGTAGAGACGGGTCATAAGATTGATTTCAGCAATCCCTTTAAGCCGATATATAAAACAAGGTTGGGCCACATACTTAAATTTGTTGAAGTCTTAGCCATAAAAAGACTTAAACCGGTCTTATGTGTCCGAAAGCCATTTGTTATCACCCTAAATCTGCCTTGGTAATCCAATTTAGAACCAAGGACCAATTTACTTCATAATATTTTCAACCCTTTCTCTGTCTTGTTTTTTCTCTTCTTGTCTTCCTAACCCACACCTTCGAGTCTCCCCACCCATTATTTGTGACCTTGACCTGTACACAATCTGACCTGTATTGTTATTATTCATGCTTTCTTGCCTTCTATAAAACTGTGTATGACAAGCACTCATGTGTGTGATCAGAATATACGAAATGTGTGTGTCGGTGTCACAGTGGTTAGGACTCTTGTCGACCATGAATATGATCCAAGGTTCGAATCCCTACCGACGCATCATAAAGAGCACCTCAAACAAACTTCAGACCTTCATTAACAGTTGTCTTCGCTCAATAGTATACAACATCAGATGGCCAGACAAATCGCCAGCAGAGATCTGTGGCAATAAGCGAACCAACGAGTAACCGATTTTGCAACAAATACATTGGAAGAATTGGAAGTGGATTGGCTGGCCATACTCTGAGGAAACCATCAAGTGATATCACTAGACGAGCCATCGCTCGAGTGGAAATCTAAATGGAAGCGGTGAGTTGGTCGTCCGAGTGTGGGTTGACTTAGAGGAGGCCATGTGAAGAGGAGATGAAAGCATGTCGGCAGGTTTGATGCAAAGTGAAAACGTTAACAGAGAACAGAATGAGATAGAGACGCGCGGTGAATGCTCTGTGTTCCTCTAGGAATTGAAGGAAATAATAATAATAAGTAAGACCAGAAGGTTTGGTTAGCACACTGTATATGCTTCCTCTCCGTCTTAATCCGTAGACACTTGAATACCCGTAAATCATATTCTCACAAGTTTTTATCACAGATCACATTCACATTTCATTGTTTTATCTTACTCTTCCAAACAGCTACAGTATCCGATTGATGAAAACACCTACATTATGAATGAATATTATGCACGCAGGGCAAAAGTCCTCGACGACTATCGAAAGGAAGTATTCGGTCTGGGAGAGAAGTAAGCTGTTAATATTTTTAGACACATAAGTGTGGCTGGAACATCTCCATTAGGCCTAATAAATGAAGAAGTTTTCAGTGAAAGTCACTCATTTTCAAGCTGTGCATTCGCATATATAAATATAAACAAATATATTACATTATGATAGCAATAAGAGAGAGGAATGTTTCCAAAGATTTACCGTCTTGATTGCAAAATTTCTGACGAAAATTGTGTTATACACAAAGCAATCATTGAGTAGAAATCTAAGCGAAATTCGATAGGTAAGCTGGGTGATGCTTCATAATCGAAGGGGTTTTAATACAACTTAAACAAAATTGCCGACGCCAAGTAAAACACCAAGTCAAGTTATCCTGAAGAGAGAGAGAGAGTAAAATATCCCCTGGATATGGAAATCCAACCAGAAGAGGCTGGATTCAGGCGAAGCACTAATGTGCGGATCAAAGTGCAACTCTAGGCAACATCATTGAACTGAGAACAAAGTGGCATTCAACTCTCATTCTAGGGCAACTTCTTTCAATTTGAATATGCCTTCAGCAGACAGCAATGGCTGTGAAACGATGTGGAAACCGCTTCAACACTGTGGCGTGCATGACCCTAGATATTATTCAGCCGTATTCAACAGCTGAATGACAATGCCGCTATAAGATCGTCCGAAACGGAGAACTAACCAAAGGCTCTGAATTGAAGGCAGAAGTAAGACAACACTGCCCAACAAACTCTCTAATTATATTCCTCATTGTAGCCAACTGGATTATGCGAGAGTCTGTGAGTGAGGAGCGGGAAGACATGAATCCTTTGGGCGAATAAGAAGACTCTAGAAGATCATGACTTCTCGGATGACTTATGTCGAACGTCACACGAAGTAGAAGTCGTACATGAGAAACATTAATTTTAAGCCAGTCAGTTCCTCTGCACAGGTGATACACCTGTCACTGATTTCCCGGAAAACATTTCCAACAGGCTACTAGAGACTTTCATCAACAGCTGGCTTCTCTGATTTCATACTGGAGAATAGATAGCTAGTCAGAAAGACTTAGAAGCACTAAGCACCGGGAACAAAATAACCATGAATCTAGTTGTCAGTAAAAATACGCTGTAAGGAAATGGAGGCGGATCGAATACACGAATGAGGAGACCATCGAATGACACCGTGCACTAAATCATCACTCAAGTGGATCCCGGAAGGGTCTCAGTTTGAAATGGAGCGGATTGTGTGAGGAAGAGATGAATTACTATGAACAATCATGGACGGGGTCAGCTGCAGAGTATTAGTTGGAACAGGACACTGGAGATCTGTTGTTGAATACTTATGTCCCACTTGGAACCAAGGGAAATATTTATAATGGCCAAAATTGAAATGGGGTTAAATTATCATCAGTCTTCTGAAGAGACGGATTGTATTATTGGAAATGTTGTGAGTATTTAAAATATGAACTACCATAGCTTCTGCAGTCTGTTCTTCTTTAGGACGATTTATGTGTACTCTGTAGATACGTCCGGGTTGGTTTGCACGCTCCAGAATATAGCTGTGGAGGGGGTATACTTCTCCTTTTTGTATATGTAGGAAATATAACATTTTCAGATATTTAGATTGACATTTAAATAAACAATAGCTACGATTTTTACTAATCGGTAGTTTATAATGATTTCATGCTCAACGAAATATTGAAAAGTAAGAGTAGCCCAGATAATTCACGGGTAATTCACGATCATTTAAACAGTCCAGTCGACATAAGAGTGAAGCCTACATTTACGTCACATTCATCCAGCTTAAGCGATACAAGGTAAGAAAAGTCATGACATGGGTTATATCTGTAAAATACACAACACAATGAAAAGAAGTAACTGTTTATCATTTTAGCTAAGTTCTGAAGCTTCACATACTGTATATTTAATTGAATTTTTACATTTTCCCGTCGATTGATTGGACGGAAGTGCTCGGTCTCAGGTTGACATGTCGGCTTCTTGTGTAGGGAACATCATCAGTCATTGAGAAATGCAGGTACATCCAGCTGACGAGTCCCAAATAGGACGAAATGTGCATCCTGAATCCCACACTGCTAGTCACCATCCACCAATTAACTTCACATACTGTGTTTCTCATTCATTCACAGATATGTAGTTTGTTATTATGGAAGACCAGTGGAATTCGAGCCCATAAAATTTATCCGGCACTCCATCAAAGGACGTGTAAAATCCTCAGTGTTTCTCTCTGTTCTTCTTCTTTATAGCTACGATTCATTACTATTGAAAGTAGAGCATATATGAAGAACCTAACTGTGTTTAACGACCAACGAATGTTACGTCTTAATAAGAGAGTTTCAACGTTCTTCTGGACCACACTCATCAACTGTGCACCCAATTAGACACAACTCTGGGGGCGCAGTCATCCGAATTCTGGCTGGCCACTTGCACCGACTGGTACCAAACAGATCACATATGATGGTGAGGACCACTTCGGTTACTAAAGGGAAACTGCAGCGAAATCGCATCTGCAACTGCATAATTCTTCAAAAAACAGTGTCAAATGTCTTTTGCTAATTAGGAATTTGATCCTTGTAACATGTCGCTTGTCTCCTATGTTCTTTTGTTTATTCGTCACTTCGTCAGAAACATTCAGAGAGCTGATGATTTCATTTTTTGTATTTTCTATGCACAGATTGAATGCACAAAGAGCAACTTATATACCCTCAGCCTCTTATTGGCCCACTGAAAACCGCATAAATATTAATGGTGCTTTGCTGAATCTACCGATTAACCGTGATAATCAAACTATTTCGGAAAAATATGGAGGATTGGGTTGGCATATAGCTCATGAAATATTACACGCTGTTGATACATCCTGTACTAAACGAAACAAAATGAGTTTTTTTTTAATTTTTAACATATCTTTGTTGACATGTGTTAAACTGACAGACACTTTTTCAGGGAAAATAACCCAAGGTGGAAGAGAAAATTTAAGTTGTTTCCCTCATTCACAATGTGTTCGTATTTTTGTAACCTTGTTTCAGTGATATTGCAGTCATCATCTTCATCCCTTTACTAGCATCCATTCAATTTCCGAGTGTGACGTAAGGCTTCAAGTATGGTCTTTGAATTGTCAGAAACAGTTGCTTTAGAGAGTGGGGCTGCAAGAGTCACATCCAACCTTTCCTGCCTGACCGTCACTCTCCATCATATAGGCGAAGCGTAAGAGTGTGTTAGGGTCTGGGAATTGGACTTCCACCCCGAAGGTAGTTGACTAGCATTTTAACCCTGGACCACTGATATACCTTTGTTCGTACACTGACTCAGAACTAAAAGGGAGTTGAATTAATTCACTGTGTAGCTTCACTGAAGACTTGAAGATTTCGATAGCTGTTCCCTGCAATGATGTAACTTAGTGTAGCTCAACTTCACCAGAAACAATTTGACCATCATATTGTCCGAATTATTTTGTAGCCTCAGGTGTGGCTTATTGGTGATTATTATATTGCGTCGATGGCACAGTAGTTAGGACTCTCGCACGTGGCCCGGGGTTCGAGCCCACGCCGACGCACACCTGATATCTATGTTCGGCCTGCCGAATTTCGGCTACCGATATCCACGCTGAAAATTCCATACTTGTACCAAAAATACGGTGTGGATCAAGCTGTAATCAAAAACAAAATAATTATATTATAATTATTTCCTGTAGTTCTTATAGGAACATAATGCGTCAGCCAGACGTCTCCGTTGCATTCGGTTCTCTGCTAGAGTTTTCACCTGGCTCCAAGTGTGCCCATATGCTCTCATCTCCTCTTCACACCACCTCCTCTAAGTCACCCCACACTCGGTCGACCAACTCGCCGCTTCCTTTTCTGGCAGGTTCCACTCAAGCGAAGGCTTGTCTAGTGATGTCACTTGATGGTTTGTTTCCTCAGAGTATGGCCAGCCAATCCACCTCCATTTCTTCCTGCCTATTTTTTGTACAATCGGTTCCTGTTAGGTTGGTTCGTTCATTGCCAGACATCCCTGTTGCTGATCATTTTGGCCGGCCATCTGATCTTGAGTGAATTATTGACCGAAGGCAGCTGCTGATGAAGGTGTGTAGTTGGTTTGAGATGCTCTTTATGACGCGCTGATCAAGTCTCTGATCCGTACAATGAGCAGCACTTACTTCACATTGGAGTTCAAAATCTGGATCTTATTTACACTTTCATGCTGCCTGCGGTTGACCTCCACATAGATTTGAGAGTGATAAAAGCTTATCTTGCTTTCACGATCCTTGCCTTGATATACTCGTCAGTTCGTCCTCCTGTGGTTGAAACGATGCTTCCCATTTTGGTAGGTAGGTAGGTGAAGAAAGTTGCTTCTATCAGGTTCCTCCCATTTATGCTGGTTGATTGTTTTCTATTGTTGTTGTTGTTGGTGGTGTTGGCCAGGAATCTTCATCACCTCTGTTTTCTCCATGTTCACTTGAAGTCCTATCCTCTATGGATGTTTTGTCTGCCAACTTTTTGCTTTTCACTTGCATATCTTCTATTTTGTGGGATATCAGTGAATTGCAGATCCTGCAAATTTTTCGTGAGAGCCAATTTTAAGCCTGTTTCCTCGTTGCCCGCCGCTGTCTGTCGCATTGTCCAATCTAATGCAGTCAGGAAGATCATTGGCGATTGTAGACAGCCTTCCTTGACTCCCGTCCTCACTTCGAAGGATTCCGTACGTTTTCCGTTGTGGATTATTTGGCGTGCAGCATTGTCATACAACGTTTGGATGAGATGTATAGTTGTCAGTGGCACCCCCTAGTAGCGAAGTAGTTATTGCTTATCTTAGCTGAATCGGAAGAGGTATTAGAAATATTGATCAGCATTATTATTACTATTAGTGTTATATTTATTATTCGATTGGGTGCCAAGTGGAACATGGGGTTTAAAGAGCATATTCCCATTTCACCCCGTTCTCTGCAGTCCTCTTTCACTGGAGCCATGTTTCTCCATATGCCTTCATCTCCTCTTCGTACTATCTTCCCAAAATCAGCTTCGAACCAACCCCCAACTCGTTCTTTCCCATCAAGAATCCATTGGAGCGGTAGTCTGATGGATGATGTCATTTGATGATCTCCTCGGTGTGTCCCCGATCCATCTCCATTTCGTACAGCAAGTAGTTTTAGGAGTAGGTTTGTAATTCGTTCGTTTCTGAGCTTCCTTATCGCTATTTCTTTCTGGCCAGCTATCTGATCCCCAGTATGGAGTTGGAGAAGCCATCATTTGATGAAAGTCTTCAGTAGCTTGTAAGCAATGCTCTCTGTGACACACCAAGTTTCTGACTCACGTAGTGTGCAGAAGATTTCAAACTGATTTCAGAGTGACGTAGATGTGCCTTAGCTTTCCAATCGTAGCTGGTTTTGACATCCTCAACTGCGATGCTGATCTATAGTTGAGACGATGTTTTCTAGATAAGTGAGGAGAGAGTGACCTCTTTCAAATTTCCCCACCGATATTGGTTGGTGCTTTTTGTTGCTATTAGCTACTGTCCTTCATAACCCATGTTTTCTCCACGTTAATTTGAGACACCGTCTTCAACTTATTGGTTTTCTCCTGTATACCTTCGAGCCTGTGTGACATCAGGCATGAATTGTCCGCCATGTACAGAACGTCTAGAGTCTTCTTGTCAATCCGACGTACTCTTGTCCTCTTCCTCCAGAGCACAGCCTTTCGCATAATCCAGCCTATCACAGTCAAGGATAGCGTCTTACTCCTGTCTTCACTTCAGAGGATTCTCAGAATTCTAAGATGTGGGTCGCTTGACATGCAGCTTTTGAGTGGTCAACAACTGTTCATATATTTTCTCTCTGTTTTCCTCTGATTCGGTCTTCCGGAATGATCTTTTAACTGAGGTATTACACTTTGATTAGTATCATCACCTCATTCGCGCTTCTAGGCGACTATGGTAACTGTTTGCACTTTATTTCTTCTGTGCTGCGGTGAATTTCAACCATTTCAAGGAGCATGTTCATATTACTGACCTTATGGTGTGTATTCAGTAAAGTACAGTTCCATGTTAGTTTCTATTGTCAATTCGGGTATCTGGCAAACAAAGTATTGATATAAATAAAATACAAGAAACTATGGAAATCAGCCTAGTAACGCGTAGGATTTTAATAACATTTCATTTTCTATAGTTTGGTTTGTAAAGGTTAATTTTGTTTTTAACCAGTTGATCACGGATTTATATCAATTAGAGAACCATTGAAAACCAACCAGGGAGTACTGGACAGCTAGCTGTTTCGTTTTAGTTTTGGAAGACCATCGGTAGTACAAGGCAACCATGCTCGTGTATCATTCAGCCAGTGGGACCCGAGTCAATGGCCAGTGCATGAATTCTAACTTCTGCCAATTTGTGATTTAGCCTGACCCCAACCATTGTCGTAGGTGGGACATCCATCCTCACATGTGACATCAATCCATGATCGAATCGTTAAAAACAAAATTAACCCTTACAAACCAAACTATAGAAAATTAATCTGATACTCGCTAGTGACTTGCTACATGATGGATCTTCCTGAAGTTCTAGTGAAAATTCGTGACTAGTGAGGTTCATCGAGATGTGATAAGCTCTTAGTAATATGATGATTTTTCTGGGGAGGCATGAACAACAGCAAGAGGGGTGTGAAAATGACTCACCGATGCATTTGACCTAAGTGTATGAAACCGGTGATGAAAATTTATTGACAATTACATTAAAAGTATTGGTTTGTAGTAGGGATTTTGTTTGATTGCATGGAGGATTTGATCATGAGCTGACATCAGTTAGAGAACCACTGGAAAACCTGGGAGTACTGGACAGCTGTTTCGTCCTAGTTTGGGACTCCTCAGCAGTACGCACTCAATGGTCTACGAGCTCGCCTTGTAACCAGAAGGTCCTGGGTTCGAATCCCGGTGGGTGCGTACTGCAGAGGAGTCCCAAACTAGGACGAAACAGCTGTCCAGTACTCCCAGGTTTTCCAGTGGTTCTCTAACTGATGTCAGCTCATGATCAAATCCTCCATGCAATTACATTAAAAGTTTGCATATTTTCATCATATGCATGAACTCAAATACCTCAGGTGTAATTACTAGTCTGTTACTTCTAAATTTCAGACTCATGTTGTCAAATCATTCAATGTGCTGACTGGAATACTCGAAATCATTTCTCACATTTCCATTTGTGGTATGTGAATCATCGATCACCGATTAGCTCATTGACAGTCTCACTCATGTAATGTACGAAATTGTGTGACGCGATGAAGAATAATCCCAGTGGTATCCAGAGTTTCAGTGTAGTTTCCGACTTAGCTTATTGATATCCCTCAGTGACTTCTAAGGCAAGTTAAATTGACGAATACAATTTAGTTGAGAATCGTCTCCGAGAGAATATTTGTGCTACACATTCTCCCTTGTAAATCACCTTTCATTAAAGAAAACAACACACGTAGTTCAGCGAAGAGTCTTTTTTCCGCGGCGAATGCATTTTCCACCTTAGCTGTACAATAGCAAATACATATGAGTTATTTTATATGCAGGTGTACATCAAGTTTGTCAAACTAATATTCAATTGGTTACGGATATTTCAACTAAACAGGTGAAGATTGGTATTTGATGTAACGTATTACAAAATCAGTCAAGAAAATTAGGTGTAAATGAGATAAGGGTAGTAACAAAGGTGATGAGTTGTCACAAACAGTTGTTAAAAAAGAAGTTATGTAATAATATGGATACTCTGATGATTGAGTTTTTCCCAGGATACGCATAGAAACAAGGTAGAGAATACGAAATTACGTAAGAGTTCTAAATGAATACAAGAGTTATAAGTAATTAAAGAACAGGCAAAGAAACAAAATTAAGTCATATAAAATCAACAAAGTTGTTACCATAACAGTAGTGTTGTTGAGTATTTCTCCTGTGTAAGAACAGCTCCGGTTTTTCTATGTGAATAGCCGGAGCTTCAGCGATACAAAGAAGACGAAACCGTATTGCGTTCGGTAGGTTATTCCTGACTGTGTAGATTACTTGAATAAGGCATTAAGAAGACAAATTTCGCGAGATGATATTGTCATTTCGTAGTTTATTTACAACCGCTTTACAACTAACATGGTTAACAATGATCAAATAAAGTTCATGAAAATTACTCAGTTAAGTAAAAAACAAAAGTACATACTAATGACCAATCATATTAAGATAGGTCATGTTGTCCATGGTAGACAAAGATTGAAGTCTATTGATTTCTGTACACACAGTTTAGGCTGTATATGATTAATCCAAAGTGCTTCCATCACCTTCAATAACCTTGAATTAGAGTTATGTGAAATAATTGTGAAACAGTCATTAATTAATATTGATTTTGTGACCAGACATTAATAAGTGTTTTGCAATGGATGATGATGCTGGATTTCTACTAAGATTAATCGCATTGGGATTTTCAATATGATTTACTAGCCATTTTGGAACATGTTCTTTTTGACGACATTGGAACATTCTATTGCTTCTACCTATGTAGATGTCACCGCAACTGCAGGTCAACTTGTAGATACAGTTGGAATTAGAGTCCGCAGAATTTCGTCCTTGAATCGTAGGTACAGGGATTGAAAATGTTCGAGACCTGAGGGAAAGAGATGCAGCATAGAATGTGCGTTTGATGGCTGACCGAAGTCTTCGAGCTACCTGTCAACTGCATAATCTGGTCGCCCTTGAAGGGTAGATTAATAAAGATAGCTTTCTTTGGTACAGAAGCTGTCTTTTCAAGATGTGGTCTATCCTTACCGTGACAACTGATGAAGTTTTCTGGATAACCATTGGCTAGTAAAACTGAATGTATATGTCGAAACTCATTCATCAATGTGTCACTCGTGTGTAGATTACGTTGAAGCAGGAGGCGGTTGTTGAGATGGAATGATCAGTGTGTTAACCGAAAGTTCAATTATCGCACTCCTTATTGCACCACTATTGCTTTTTCGTAACTATGCTGGATAGTGTTCTTGAATCCTCTTGGACAGGGTGTGCGTCAAACGACCGGTGTACTTGGCTGGCTCCACAGTAGCAGGTGAACTGATATATATATGCACATAGAAGTGGTGAGATGCGGGATGTTGTCCTTGAGGCTTCTTTAGATCAGTGGGTGACTAGAGAACACTATTCTTAGCGTTTCTGCAAAGAATGTTCTTCTCGGAGATGATGTGATGCTTCTTTCCTTCACTCATCTAGCTATTCATATTATTACACAACTTCTTTTTTAACAACTGTTTGTGACAACTCATCACCTTTGTTACTACCCTTATCTCATTTACACCTAATTTTCTTGACTGATTTTGTAATACGTTACATCAAATACCAATCCCCACCTGTTTAGTTGAAATATCCGTAACCAATTGTATTCTAGTTTGACAAACTTGATGTACACATGCATACAAAATAACTCATATGTATTTGCTATTGTACAGCTAAGGTGGGAAATGCATTCGCCGCGGAAAAAAGACTCTTCGCTGAACTACGTGTTTGGTTTTCACTAATTCCTGGATGGGGATCATCCATGAATCAGCTTTCAGTCAACACGCTTAACAAAGTCGCTTATATAATCGACACCAAATTCGAAACGTCAAAGTAATATAAAACCACACTCATATTAATATTGATTGTACTACTGAACCGAAAAAAATCAATGGTAATAAATTTAACTACATTTCACACATATCAAGGTATACTTATCGATGAGAATGGAAATGACAGGCCTCCCAATATCGCCCGCAATGAATTTCTTGCCCTCTTGAAGCAAACAGAATGTCTACGAAAACAGTACACAAATTACGATTATACGAGTGAAAAGGTTTGTGGTTTTATGCTAAATAAAGTTATCAAATTCATCAAATTTGTCTTTTTTGTTTGTCTACGCTGTATGAACAACGAAAAATACGTGTCGGTTTTGTTTGGTTATTATTAGCAGAAGAAGCCTTAACACCTTTGGAAGTGATAATATAAGTGTAAAACGTATGCACTGTGGTAGTAAGTTATTCCATATTAGTTTGTTCATTAGATGTATCGCACAGTGATGACACAGTATTACAGTTTAGTGGATGACACACTTTCGAACACAATTCATTATTGCTGTTCATAATCATTCCATCAATTAAAATCACACGATTTCGAAACTTGAATTTTATAGTATTCTTTGTTCTCTCCTATTTGTCGTCGTTGGGGTAGTAGAAGTTTCCAGATATTTGGGCGGACAGGTGTTCATTCATTCCTATTACACGTATTCTTTCTCAGTTGATTCGATAAACAAAGCTTCCGTTATCAATCTTTCCCTTCACCCTGCTCTTGAATTAGACTTTAAAACCTTCAGCTTATCCCATCCAGCCTATTATATGGTTGTGTTGTGCGTAATTGCATTCAGCGAGTGTTATAGCTGAACTATCCTCCAGATTTCTCATCTTATTCGAGTCAGCTAATCTAGGTTTTGTGGCTAGGTTTTTATGCTCCGCTAGTCTGACTGACTGATCCCTGCTCTACTACTTGGTGCTATGTATTTCACCTGATAACCACTGCAGGTAGGGCATTAGATAAACTAAATTGTTTTTTTTAAAGGCTCCACAGGACTGATCCTTTAACCGACAAAGCTTGTTTCTAATTGAGTTTGTAGGTGATGTGAATGCCATCCACTTTTATTCCTGCCTGCCTTGTTAAGTATTCTGTGTAAGGTTTCCGAGGTTCCTTCCTTATTTGTATGGAATTACTACTGATGATTTAGATTCCTTGTTGTTGGTGTTGTCTTGTGCATTTTGACATGCATTACTATTATTATTATTATTAACATTATTATTGTCATTATTATTACCATTATCCCTATCGCTACTATTATTGTTTATTTTATTTTCTGTGTTCATTTTCCAAATTTTTCAAATTCTCGTGAGTGTAGGGTGTACAAATTGGGAGAAGTTCTTCGGTATTTCAATTTCATCTTCTCTGTTGTCCACTTAACGAAAATAAATCTGTCTGTCTATATTACAGCTTTTTTCTTAGATAGCATTGCCTAGCTATTATTCCACAGATATAACCAGGTTTCAGTGACCTTGTGACTGTTATACAATGACCGCTATGACTCATTTGGTTTAATAATTCTGCCCTCTTCTTTAAAACCCGTGAATGATTCCATATTAGTTTATTAAATGTATCACACAATGAAACAGTATTACTGTTTACTGGATGACACAGTTTCGAACACAATTCATTATTGTTCATAATCATATCGTCAATTATAATCACACGACTTCGAAACTTGAGTTTTATAGTTTTCTTTGTCTTGTCATATTTGTCGTCAGTGGGGTAGTAGAATATTCCAGATATCTGGGTGGCGAGGTGATGAATCATTCCTATTACATGTATTCGCAGTTTATTCGATAAATAAAGATTCCGTTATCAATCTATCCCTATACCCTGTGGCATTACATTTTTAAACTGCCATCCTATCCCATCCTACTGTATGGTTGACAGTTTTAAAATGTAATGTCACAGGGTATAGGGAGAGATTGGTAACAGAAGTTTTGTTTATCGAATAAACTGCGAATACATGTAATAGGAATGATTAATCACCTCTCCACCCAAATATCTGGAAAGTTCTACTACCCTGCCGACGACAAATATAACAAGACAAAGAAAACTATAAAACTCAAGTTTCAAAGTCCTGTGATTATAATTGACGATGTGATTATGAACAATAATGAATTGTGTTCGAAACTGTGTCATCCAGTAAACAGTAATACTGTTTCACTGTGTGATACATTTAATAAACAAAATAATATGGAATAACTTACTACCGCAGTGCCCAAGTTTTACACATATATTAATGTGAATGATATCTACAGTCATCCGATTCATTGATTTTAAAGCGTAATGTTTCAGAGGGATGATTTTGAAAAGTCTAAGCGAGCTAAATATTCACACATATATACACGTAATCTAATTCAAGGTACAGATTTCCTATGGAATTCTATGTTAATGCTAAGTACCTCCAAGTGTCATGACCTCTGATAAGCATATCTTAAGGTCAGTGGAACACAGTCAAATGTTCTCAGTTTGTTTGAATCTGAATAGTATGAAGTCTAGTTCTGGCAAACACCAACAACAACAGCAGACAACAATCAGCCAGCATGAATGGGAGGAACCTGGAAGAAACAATCTCCTTTACCTACATATCTCGGAAGCATCGTTTCAACTACAGGCGGAACTGACGAGGATATCAAAGTGAGGATCGGGAAAGCAAGATAAGCTTTCATTACTCTCAAGTCTGTATGGAGGTCAACAGAACTCAGCATCAAAAATAAGATCCGAATTTTCAAATCACTGTACGGATCAGCCACTTGCACTGCGCGTCATAAAGAGCATCTCAAACAAACTACACACCTTCATCAACACCTATCTTCGCTCAATACTCAAGATCAGATGGTCGGCCAGAGAAGATGAAAACCAGGGATCCCTGGCAATCAGAGAACCAACAAACCAGGACCCGATTGTGCAACAAATAGGCAGGAAGAAATGTAGGTGGATTGGCTGGCCGTACTCTGAGAAAACAAACCATCAATTGACATCACTAGACAAACCATGGCTTGCGTGGAACACGACTGAATGGGAACCGGCGAGTTGGTCGTCATTGTGTGGGTGACTTGGAGAAAATCATGTGAAGAGGAGATGAAAGCATGTGGACAGACGTTGAGCCAGGTGAAAACTCTAGCAGAGATTCGAATGCAATGGAGACTTGCAGGGGAATCCCCATGTTCCTCTGTTAATTAAGGAAATACTACTAATGAACTCTAGAATTCATAAAATATAGACTTAAATTAACCCTTCTTTGTATATTCAAAAGTGATGTTATTCTACGTATTCCACTTATCTGTAATGCATATTTCGATTATTATCAGAGTGGAACAATTCCAGTTCTGGATGAAATTCTATCAGATAACGGAGGTCTGAGGATAGCATACCAGGTAAATGATGATATTCGTTTTGTAATGTCAGTAATTTATACGGTATGACAATGTCTCTCCTGATATCATTTATACTGACTGACTGTCCACATTTAGACCCTTTTTCACTTTTGTAACTAAAAGACGGAGTTTATAATTTGACCTCCAGAAGGCGGAATTCGTATACAGCTATTCTATATCAGTAATAAGTTTGAGCATTGTGGATTAGATCAAATAAAGTATAATTATATTTCAATAGTTTACACACAATGATAAGTTTTGTTATTGGTAATATTTCGAGCAAAATTACTACCCGTGTTCATACACATTTATGATTTTTACTCATATATATAGTTCATTATTTTTTTGTTCAATCATGTTTTTTTTGTATTCAGAATTATGTTCCACGTTCATTCATGTTTTTGTATTCAGAATTATATTCCAAGTTGTTGATAGTTGTACTGAGTCACCCTTGTTACATGTATCCGGTGTGACTTTAATGAATATCGATTCCGTTATGAGTCTTTCTTTCCATTTGTTCATGTTAGTTTTTAGAATACACTCATTGTCCCAATCGATATTGTGGTTTTTGTCCCATACATGTGCAGCTATCGATGAATTTTGTTTTTTAAGATTCTTGTAAGCTTGTGTCCCTGTTGGTTGACCTTTAGTTAGCCGTTTATGTTCACTCACTCTTATTTCGAGTGATCTGGATGTCTGCTCCACATATTTAGTCAGACAGTCGGCACAAGATATTTCTTGTAAATCAGATTTTTTTTATCCATCATTTTTATGGGATCTTTCAGTGGATTTATTTTATTTTTGATTAGATTCGTCGGTTTAAACATTGTTCGAATGCCGATATTTATGAGGTTGCTCTGAAATGCCTCTGATGTACCATTTGTTTTACATGGTATTGTGCCTGTTTTTTTGCATTCTTCTATCTTGTTATTCTCCGGTTTCACCCTCCTTTTTCTCTTTTTTATATTATCTTTTATAAATTCATTTCGGTAGTTGTTTTCGAGTAGCACTTTGAATAGGACTTTTATTTTTTTACACTGGTCCTCTGGTGTACTTGTTAGTCTACGTATTCTGTCTGCAAGCCCTTGTAATAATCTTTGTTTTACCATGAGTGGATTAGCTGAGTGATGATCAAGGAATCTTCCAGAGTGTGTGGTTATTCTGAACAAAAATTCAATGAACTATACATATATGAGTACAAATCGTAAATGTGTGTGAACAAAACAATTCCAACAGTTGGTGGTGTGAACACGGGCAGTAATTTTGCTCGAAATATTACCAATAACAAAACTTATCATTGTGTGTAAACCATTGAAATATAATTATACTTTATTTGAGTTACTGTATAGTTGTGATAAGTGCTCCAAACTATCTGCTTGACTGATAGAATTCAGTCTACACCGAAGAAAGGATTAGACATGTCACACTAGTTACTAGTGTCCAATCAAAATTATCTACTTCGTTTGAAAATGGAGTATATCTGTCAAGATTGCGTCGTTTCTCTGCAAGATTATTAGGCGGACAAATACATCGAAAAGTCAGGAATATCAAAGTCTGTGTCATACAGAGGACGAACACATCAGGTGTGTCCTAAGAAATGCATTTCATTACCTCATCAATGAAGTCGTGACCAGTAAGGTGCAGCAGGTCGGGTATGAGGACAAATACCCGCCGAAGACATCGGCTAGTGGTCGCGCTTTGCCGTGAACTGGCAGAAGTTGGAATTCTTGGGCTGGCCGTTGGATCGATTCCCAGTGACTTAACGGTCGATGAGCTCGCCTTGTAACCAGAAGGTACAGGGTTCTAACCTCGGTGGGTACGCACTGCTGAAGAGTCCCACGCTAGGACGAAACAGCTGTCCAGTACTCCTAGTTGTTTTCCAATGGTTCTATAACCAATCACATTATCGTCACACTAATAACTTCCATTGTTTTTGAATAAATAGGCGTCAGATATTAAACTCCAAGACACCGTTTTCGACCAAGTCGTCTAAATAGGTTGGAAGGCAAAATTAGTTGGTTTTATCACCAAATACCGATAGTTAATGAAGGCTTACATTTGGTTAGGAAAATTTATTCAAACACGTCTTTCTGAAATTATAAACTAGAACTGTGAAAAGAGAAGATCACTTCGAATACACTGTAGGATTAGCAGAAGTATTCTACCGTGTTATGAAGTGTCCACAACCAAATTTGCATAATGCTTACAAGCAAAAACCGACAACCTGGTCGAAGAAGCAAACAGTGAAGATAGGACTCCAGGTGAACATAGAAAAGACGGAGGTTATGAAAATAACCAACCAACCAGCAGCAACAGCAACATCCAGCCAGTGGCCAATCACCATCAACGAGAGGGATTTAAAAGAGGTTACTTCATTCACTGATTATCTAGGGAGCATTGTCTCAACTACGGGCCACAGGAACGGACGAGGATGCCGAATCGGGCGAAAATCGGGAAGGCGAGCGAAAAACACATTCATCAACCTGAAATCAATCTGAAAATCTTCGTCACTCAGCCAGCCAGAATCAACAACAAAATCCAGTCGGATTTCCAATACAAACGTCAAGTCAGTCAGTTTGTATACACGGAACGGATCAGAAACGTGGCGGGCGGGCGGATCACAAACAATATTTCCAACAGCCTGTTGCAGACCTTCATCAACCAACAACTGTCTTCGCTGGCTGTATACTGAAGATCAGATGGCCGGCCGGCCGGCCGGGCCGGAAAGAGTCACCAACTATGGGAAACTCTGGTCACAAACAAACAAAACAAGAAGCAATAGCCCAACCAACAAATATGCAGGAGAAAGTGCATTGAGATGGATTGGACACTCGTGGCTGAGTAGGCCGCCGCTGGGTGACATCGCGTGCGCGTCAGGCCATTGCTCGAGTGGAACCAGGCCGAAGGGGAAGCGGCGACTGGGACGTCAGTGCAAGGGTGACGCGGAGGAGATCATGTGAAACAGTATGTTGAGTTGAAAGCGTATGGACTAACATGGATCCAGGTGAAAAGTACAGTAGAAGACAGAAGTGGCAAGTGGAGATGTGCAGTTGAAGCCCTATTTTCCACTAGGAACTCAAGGGGACAACAATAATATCATGAAATATCTCATTTAAGTATACATTGAGAGATTCTCTCTTTTACTTATAACCAAGCATCTACGTAATCAGTCGACAACTTAGGATAATTAGGAGAGAGAATCAATGCTGTAATCACTTCCACTAACTTTTCCACTTACTGTGTGGTTTGATTATGCAGACTGTGGTAAGACGACTTGGAATCGATAGTAATTAAAACGTCTAATACCGTGTACACTTGACGGCTTCATTTGTAGAATTAAGATACATTACTATATGCCGTATTAAGTGGATCCCTGTGAGCAGATTACCAGAAGGTTTCCACGCTAGTGTTACATAAGATCAGATGAGGGAAACCATGGCAGTATTGCTATATTTTACAAATTGGCTATTGGGTTCCGTCCAAGTATCTGAATGTCCAACGGGTTAACCGCATAACGTGAATGTCCCTGGTTCGATCCTTGTCGGGGAAAGTCATGAACACATACTTCCAAAGAACCCAAACTAGTATGAAATAGCTGTGTAGTTCCCCACCCCCCTAGTTCTCGATGTTGCACTAACTCATATTGCATCGTAATCTCACCTAGAAATACAGTGTCTCATTAGACGTGATAAGTTTATTGAGAGAAACACTTCATACTGCATTCACAATCTTGACATCAGAAATGCTTTAACTTCATGGAGGACAGAAATCGACTTCACTGGTGATCACAGGGATAATGTGAATGAAAAGTGTTGGGGCGCTATTATTGGAGTCAAAAAAGCTGACAAAAATCGTCTCGAAATTATATCGGAAACGGTTTGAACAGCATGTGTGTGTCCAAATGACCACCGGAAACACAAACTATTTCAAAACTGAATGAATCCATCGCCAGTGCCAGTTAGCCATCATCCGGCCAAGTCAACATTTGAACCCAGCTACTAGTATCTGCATTTCGATTTGTAAATATTTAGGCTCCAACTTCTTAATGAAGTAGTCCACTCTATTGAAACAAAACTGCTAAAAATTCACGGGTCGATATGTAGCCTCGGTTATTGACCTTTAATAATTTAATAATTCCCATTGTAGCATTAAGAACACAATATTCAGCAAAGAGACTCTTTTCATCAACGAATTTATTATTATCAAGCTGTACAATCTTATAGACATCGTTTTTTTAAGAAATTATAGCCGGTGAGGGAATCGGATCAAAGGTGTGAATACATGAAGTAATAATAATAGTAGTATGAAATGCAATTACAATATTTGTGATTATCATCATAGTTTAATATCAAGTGGCAAAATAATTAATGTCATATATAGGATAATATATAAGGTGTATAGATGCTGGAATGGGGTACATATTTATAGTGTGGTGAGAGCTGGCTGTTAGTCAAAATTGGTGGACAGTAATTTACGTCAATGTTTATGTCTCCAATATTTGTCGTGAGAAAGATGAGAACAAAGACTTCGCGTAGGCGGATACAGTTAACATATAGATGATCTGATATTCAAGAAACAGTCACAAGGAGATGAAAGATTAACTTTCAGTGAGAAACAGCCACCAATCAGAGGACTGTGTTTTTTGCTAAGAATACTCTATAATAATGTTCATGAAAATCTATAAATATGTGTTGATTTCCTTAGTAAACGATCTGTTGACTGGCCCTTGTCTTCTATTGTTACAATAGGATTAGTAGAAGAATATAAAATGTTACATGGTATGTATGTATGTGACATGGTGTGAAATTCGATGATAGAATTCAATATTTTAAAAACAAAAAATATAAAAATTAAAAATTTTGGGTTTCGAATGACAAATGAGTTAGAATAGTAATAATAATAGTGATAATCGTAGTAATAAGGGAAAGGTACGTAGAATAATTAAATAAACAAAATAAACAATTGACTATCCTTCTACGGCCAAGGCAGAAGTAGGGATTGCACATACTTCTTTTGTACACAAAAGTCTGGCCTAAACTCATGAATTTTCAAGGCCTCAGCTGTATTTAGAAGTCTGTAACGAGGAAAACGCCTCTAGCAATTTAGCATGGACTCGGTAGATGATCTTGAAATCATGGTCAGGGTTGACAAAGTGAAAGAAATCGATCAAGGGTTCCACGAAAATATGATTATAATCACAAATATTTTAATTGCATTTCATACTATTAATATTATTATTTCATGTATTCACACATTTGACCTAATTCCCTCACCGGCTATAATTTCTTAAAAAATTGATATCTATAAGATTGTACAGCTTGATAATAATAAATTCGTTGATGAAAAGAGTCTCTTCGCTAAATATTGTGTTCTTATTAACTTTTATCCATAATAATTCCTCCTGTCATTTATTCATTTCAGACATTTCAAAGACTGACGAGAAATCTTACCAATGATGCTGGTGAAAACACGAACTCATCTTCCACTTCGGAAAAATCGTTTTTCTATAATTTTGCTCAGGTATGTGTAGCTTGGTTTCGCTTGCTCTCATGTATTTTATTCCCAACCTAGTAGACCCTTTACTATAGCTGGCAGTGGAAAAAAGGAACTCATGAAAAGACACTTGGGTTTTGAGTGAAGAGAAGGCTTCGAAAGCACATCCCTATATATCACAGGTCTGAATTAACCGCCATTCATGAAATTTCATACGGAGTACTGAAACATGCGAAAGTGTAACAAATGCTCACCTGTTGATACCGATTTAAACAATTCAAAGAAGAGTTCCATAAGAACCCGCCGTATACGTCTCTTAAAGAAATACAGAACACTTAGGAGTAGGTCACGTGCCGTGAATCCAGGAGATTTTACATTTGAGGAGACGCTCTTGTATAGTCAAATAAAGCTGTTGCAGCTTATTTTAACCGTCTGTTTGCGTTCGTCAGGAACAGTCTGTCCTCATGTGTATTTTTGGATATCATTCAACATATCGACTGCTGCGTTTTGAAAGAAAAAAAATACATCAGGGATTGAAGCAAGTGGTAGATCCGATATAACACGTAGATAAGAGCAGACTGATAACTCTTTACCATTTATAAAGATGCTATTATTACTGTTACTATTATTAGCATGTCAATCGGTTCTCTAAACTATTTTATACACTGAATACGATGTGATCCTCTGAAGTTTCTACATTCATCTCTCTTGAACTTAGGGAGCAAATAATTCATCTTTTGTTGATCTAATTTTTTCCAGACATTTTGTGAAAAGTATACTGCAGAAGGAATAACTGAAGACATGAGTAACTCTGATCACGTGCTGGGGCATTACAGGTAAGTTTTTGTTAGAAATGCGATGGTGTCTTCACATCATTCCTCGAGTTCATCAGTGATTCATAAGAGGGTGTGTGTGACTTGATTCGATTTTGATGTGATTGTGTTCTCTCAGCTGGATAGTTAATTTGCGAAGCTTTCATCGCCCTACTAGGCAACAATTATCTTCAGCGCATACTTCACTTCGTTGACGTGAGCTTTTAGATTTCTCCACAAGTTTATCAGTCATCTCTCCTGATGACCTTGGATGTGATTGGTTGTTTTGTGTGTTTTAACATCTTCTAGGTTACTTGTATTGTACTGAAACTGATTATTTCTTTGACTTTAACTTTGACCCATTGTGTGTGAGGTTTCTTTCTTATCAGTTGATAAATTCTGTCCATCTCGATGTGTCTATGGTTTCATGATTCACTGGAATGCCAAGCTGCGAAAAATTCTCTAGCATTCTTGGTGTTTCCTCTGTCTAATATTTGAATGTTGGTTGTCCCAGTCGAATGGATGTCCGTGGTTGTCTGTATGCAGTGAGGCGATTTGAGTGATGGAGTGGATACCATGTCTTTTGACGGCTAGCTTACGTTTGTGTATACGAAGACGAAGGGGACGTCCACTTCGGCCAATGTAGTGTTTTCGCAGTTGTTACAATTTGTTTTTAGATGATGTTGGTTTAATCTCGTTGTTGATTCTTCCGGTTGACACAGAGCTAGCCAGCTGAGTGAAGTGACTTTGTCGGTTTGTGTACGACGTCAGTTCACAAAGGTTTGAAGAGTCTTGTAGTGATTTTTGAGATATCTTTTATATATGGTATGGCGATTTTCTTTGTTCTTTCCCTGAAGGGCTTTTGGTTTGATAGGATGGCTTGAGGGTAGATGTCTTTTGACGAAACTCCGTGGATATCCATTCTTTTGGAAGACGTCCATGAGATATCTTTCTTCAACATTCCTTAAGGTGTGTGTGCTGCAATGAGTCCTGGCTGACCTTCTTGAATAGTGTTTGTATGCAATTCCTTTTGTGTGTTATTGGATTGTTGCTGTTGTAATTCAGCGAGGATCTGGTCTGTGTGAGTTGATTTTCTGTAAACTTGAGTTTCTAATTTCCCTGTGGTTGTTCACTTGACTAAGACGTTTGAAAATGGGATTTTCTCCTCGGATTCCTCTTCTCTTGTGAATTTGATGTCGTTGAAGACGTTGTTTATTAAGTTGTGAGTTTTATCTAATTCGTTTCTTTTGATTATTACAAATGTGTCGTCGACGTAGCGTATCCAAATCTTGGGTTTGATCTTTGGTAGAATTATATTTTCGAGTCTTTGCATCACTGCTTCTGCAATCAAACCTGATATTGGCGATCCCATGAGTGTTCTTTTGACTTGTTCATATATTTAGCCGTTGAATCGGGAGTATGTTGGTAGGCATAGGTTTATGCATTCCATACAGCTTGTGTGCTGCATTTTTGATTGTTGTAGGAGGGGTTCGTCGTTGCTGAGCAATTGTTTCATGGTCTCTTTTGCTAGCTTTTGTCCGATTGAGGTATATAATGCTGTCACGTCGAAGGATACCATTATTTCGTGTTTATCTATTTGGATGCCTCTGATTTACTCCAGGAATTGAATAGTAGACTTGATGGAGTGATCACAAGTTTCCTCTGGGTGTTCCAGTTCTCTGTATAATTCTTTGGATAAATTATATGTTGGAGTGATAGAATCGGTCGTAACGGGATATTTGGCTTGTGTATTTTGGGTCTTCCGTAGAATCGGAGTAGGACTGGTCAACTGGATTTCATTATCCATTGGTCTTGTTTTGTGATCTGTCCAGTTTTGGTGAGCTTGTTTAAGATCCTTTGACTGCGGTTGTCCAAAGTTTGTATGGGGTTTTTTGAGAGTTGCTGATATACATCCTCGTCTTTGAGTAGTTCTTCAGCTTTCGTGATGTGTATTCTTCTCTGTCCATGACTACTGTTGTTCTTCCCTGATTTGGGTAATAAAATAAGCTGAAATTCAGATAAGACTGAACAAGGTAAAACGAATGCCTGAAAAATAATCGAGCGCTCACTGGCGACCGCTTCTCTATGGAAATTTACCTGAAAATCTAGTAAGTAGTGTTGGTCACCGGGGTCCACCAAGTCAGATAAGAAGACAAATACTCGTCGACGACACTGGCTACAGCACGATTACAGCATACATATGGCTGAAGTTGCGAATAACGGGTCATTCCGTCGGGTCCAGATGGACAAATGGTCGACTTTGTAATCAGAAGGCCCTGGTTTCTAACGCCAGTGGATCGCACCATGAAGAGCTTCAAACTAAGATGCAAAAGCTGTTCAGTAATGACTGTTTTTCCAGTGATTCTCTAACTGATGTCAACTCATTATCGAACCTGTATGCAAGAGAGTGTCAGTGACCTATCAAGTCACACAGTTTTGAGTGCATATATATATGACCGTTTTGATAGTAGTGAAACAAGAGAAGACAAGGGCCAGTCAACAGATTGTTTATTATGGAAATCAACATATATTTACAGATTTTCATGTACATTATTACAGAGTATTCTTAGCAAAAAACACAGTCCTCTGATTGGTGGCTGTTTCTCACTGAAAGTTAATCTTTCATCTCCTTGTGACTGTTTCTTCAATGTCAGATCATCTATATGTTAACTGTATCCGCCTACGCGAAGTCTTCGTTCTCATTTTTCTCACGACAAATATTGGAGACATAAACACTGACGTAAATTACTGTCCACCGATTTTGACTAACAGCCAGCTCTCACCACAGCAGTAGCTTAACGTAATGCAGTTTGTACTTTCCCATGGACTGACTGGACGGAAGTGTTCGGCCTCTGTTTATATATCGGCTCTTTGTCCAGATAATTTGAAAATGTCTACGGATTTAACTTGCAGAAATTCGAAGTAACGAAGTAACAATAATTTGGTGCACACTGCATAAGAGGTGGAGTTTGTTCCTCCAAGTAGACTAGTGGATAACGCTTGGACATTTGAAACGATGGGTACTGGGATAAAGACTCAGTGAAAAGACCATCACTCGCTGATGAATGAGCGTACATCAGCTGACGGTCGCAAATATGATTAAATGAGTATCTTGGATTTCACCGCTAGTCACAATTCCCCAAACCACTTGACATAATTAATATCTATATCCCGGAAAATGCGTTTACACGCAGAATAGAGAATTTTCGGCGACTCACATTGTAGAGTTTTAGAATTTTCGAATGACGTAATAACCGAAAATATATCATCTGAAACATTCTACAATACTACTCTACAAAACTTTTCCGTTACGTTGTCATCAGTAGATCGAAACGCATCTCCGATCATGTGTAAGTATAGACTTCAACTCAGACTGGTATTAGACGATTGAAAGAAATATAAAACGGAGTGAATACTATGCGCTTTGATGTATAGAAAATTTGAGTAGCCCTGTAACTTAAGCAGGCCGTCTATATTGGAGGTTTCGATGAATTTAACACACAGTTAATTCTAACAACAGCCTCTACAAGTTTCTACATCTTTAACCGTATTCGTCGATACATTAACCCACTGTTTCTTGGCTTTTTTACTAATCAGAGTAGTCGGTGCCTTGTCGAACAGTGAAAACTTTGCAAGAGCATACAACTGTCCAGTGGGCTCACCAATGAATCCAAGTGAAAAGTGTCATGTATGGTGAATGACTTTGTGTTCATAGTTCTCAGTGAACGCATATATTCGTGTTCTCATCTGAAAAGAAACTGAACTGTAATGATGTGCTATTTTGAATAATTTTTTTGTCGAACTGTTGTTATCATAATATACTCATCTGAGTGAACTTGATTTATTTGATTCCCTTCTTTCACCTATGACATAGTCGATTAACATTATGCTGGCTTTCAGAGAACTCACTAATTTTCTACTCTTCTATAATCAGTCTTCTTCCTATATTTCAAATTCTACCAAAATATGTCTCCAGTGACTTTATCACTTCTTAAGGTAACAGCCTCTACGGTTCATGAGGTTATTAATCATTTCATGTAGTCCATTTCAGTAGATGGCAAATATTCGTTCACTGTTATGACAGGTAGACGACACCATTACTGGAGAAGGTGTGGAAAGAGGGGAAGGTACCCGAGGATTGGAAGAAAGGCTACTTATTTAAACTACCAAAGAAAGGAGACTTAAATTAATGCAAGAACTGGCGCGGAATTCTGCTTCTGTCCATCCAAATCAAATAACTAAGTTTCACAATCCTGGAGAGTATCAAACACGCCAGCCTTTATGGGAAACTTCGAATGGAACAGGCTGGATTCAAGGGAAACAAGTCATGTATTGATCAAATTGCCACACTACGGATCATCATTGAACAGGACTTCAAATGGCAATCAGCTCTCAACCTCACTCAATTTCATCGACTTTGAAAGGGCGTTTGGCAGCGTCGATCGAGAGGTGATTTCAAAACTACTTCGCTATCACTAGAGGGTGCCGGCAACATATATACATCTCATCCAACAGTTGTACGATAATGCTGCAGGCCAGACGGGAGTAAGACAAGCTGGTTGACTACTATCGCCAATGATTTGCCTGATCGAAGTAGACTGGATGATGTAATAAACAGCGGACAGCGAGGAAACAGATATAAAGTGGATCCTCAAGAAAAACGTGAAGGATCTGGACTTCGCCGAAGCGGCATATGGCTGATTTCTCATAGAGTGGAAGATATGCAAGTGAAAAGCAACAAGTTGGAAGAAGAAGCATCGAAGATAGGACTTCACTTCAGGTGAACATAGAGAAAATAGAGGTAGGTGATGAAGATTCCTGGCCAACACCAACAGCAACAACAACAACAGACAATCAGTCAGCAGAGATGGGAGACACCTGAAAGAAACAACGTCATACACCTACCTTAGAAGCGTCGTCTCAAATACAGGAGGACGAGACTTATGAGGATATCAAAGTGAGTATCAAGAATGCAAAGCACTCTTTCATTTCTCTCAAGTCTGTGTGGAGGTCAACAGTCGGCACTCAGCATGAAAAATAAGATCCGGATTTTCAAATCCAATGTGAAGTAAGTCAGTGCTACTCACTGTATGGATCAGAGACTTGGCCAACGCGTCATTAAAAGAATCTCAAACAAACTACAGACCTTCATCACCAGCTGTCTTTGCTCAATACTTCGCTCAAGATCAGATGGTTGGTCAGAAAGGATCAGCAACAGAGATCCCTGGAAGCAAATGAGCCAGGAACCGACTGTACAACAAATAATCGGGAAGGAGTGGAGGTGAATTTGTCATACTCTGAGGAAACCATCAAGTGAAATCACACGTCAGGCCATCGCTCGAATGGAAGCGACGGGTTGGTCGTCAATGCAAGTGTGACTTGTGGGAGGTCATGTAAAGAGCAGAAGAAAGCATGTGGGCAGATCTGGAGCCAGGTGATTTCTCATCTCATAACAGCTGTGCCAGATATGGTATTGTGGAGTTTTTTACTTGGTAGGCCTAGCATATAGCCTCCTATAGCTATAGCTTCTAGTTCAAACAGATGAAATGTAAGGAGACAGCTGCGTATAGAGAGGATGCTCGGGGTCTGACAATATTGTATTCGCTAGTTTCTTACATGACATTATATATCTATCCACAATAGTATTAACCAGTTAGTTTGTTTAACGATATCCCACTTGCCCTACTAACGCCTTTGAGTGCCTGCCCTTCTCAGCAAAGCACAGTCTTTCTTAAGTAGTCCAGGAAAGATTAATGGGAGGCAGTAAAGAGGGATGGGTAGAATACAAGAATTTACAAACTGACAAAGCAAAGACTGCTTCATGCCAGACTGACTAAATTTCCTAATGTAGAACGTTAAGCGAAACATCTTTCTAGTCTAGTAACTAGCAAGATGTGGGAGGACCAGGAAAGATCGGTGGTAAAGCTCGGCCCAAGATACTTGACATTAGATGTATTGATTGAATCTAATGTTCTGTTGATATAACAGCATGGTGAGGGGAAATACAAAACTAACACAGCTTAAATGATGTTCACACTTATGAAAAATATAAACAAATAAAAACAAAAAAATTGAGAGAATTATAAATATAAGAAATACAATAACAATAAAGGTTGATACTGTAAGGGTGGAGGAAATGGTTTATTTAATAGTACAAAGGAGGTTAGTTAGTTAGTTCATGCCTGACACTATTTTCATCATATGAGGTACGTGTAGTGAAATATGGTATAGAAGGATTTCTATACTTAGACGTACGTGCATAAAGGCTTCTGAAAAGACTTCTTGTTTTACCTGAGGAGGTGACAAAAGGTTGGAGCTGCGGGTGCTGCGGTGGATGCTCAAAGTCTGACAAAATTCCTTCGGCGAATTTGTTGCATGACATCAGGTGCCTATCAATCACAATGTCAACGATATAGCCCAATGTGATAGCAGCCACTAGCCCTACTGACAGTCTTCATAGTCCTACGAAGTATGACATAGTCTTTCCTTTTAAGCAATCCAGGAAAGAATAAGTAAGGGTGAACAGTAAAGAAGAATAGGTAAGATGCACGAGTTGACAAACTGTAAGATTATTATTATTAGGTAGGAATGTCATGGTTGAGGTCATCTGTAGACAGAATTATTGAAATAAATATAGTGAATTTCTGAGTCTGTCTCATGAGAGATTAAATACCTGACAGGCACATATAAAAAACATTCATTTTACAAAGTGTATAGACCTCTAGCATCAGATGAACTAAATACGATGAATGTGGATATCAAATTGAACCGAGTGAATAGTGAACTGAGATTCGTGCAGCTAGTGTAACCTTCTTATATTGACTGATGTGTCTAGTAACATTTATGTATATAAAGTGTGCGCGATTCAGTACAGAATCCACATGAATGAAGCATGCAAAGCGATGAAGTACTCCAACTAGAGGGATTTCAGATTTATTCGAGCTCGGGTCAACTATAAATGCTGACTATCTAGTTCTAAGGGAATTATAAACAGCAGATAGACTGACCAGAAATGTTAGATGACATGTGTGTGTGTGTGTGTGGTGTCAAGCTACTTAAATCAGTCAGTGGGATGTGTCAACTTGCGATTTCGCTTTCTTCATTTATTTGCGCCTGTAACGATGTCACGCAGGTGACATATTTTGATTTGAGGATTCTAGATTATGTGATTCTGAGGAATTCCAGCTCATTTCAACACATTTCAATATTTTAAATGACTTCAGACAGAAGGTAGTGCCTTCAGTGAAAGAAACCAAATTAATTCTGACTGAGAACTGAAAACAGACAAGTCAATGTTAGGACAGAATGCATCATGGAATCAGTCTAAAAATTTCCTGCATTTACTAGTCACATAGTTGGTTGGTGGGAAATCCCTCAGGGGTACGAGGAATTTCAGTCAACTGTTAAGATCAGTATTGTTTGAAAGTAAAAGAGAAATGGATCTGCAAAAATCCAGATCAGTAAATGAACTTTGTAATCTGGCAAACGGTGAATAGTCGTTTCTTAAATCTTGTAGCATCATTATTCTTGTCTAAACTGATAAGGAAATCTGTTTAGAGGAATTTCAACTCAAAAGCCGTCTGTTTGTGAACACTGTTCTCTTTGAATAGTACCACCATCATCTACAAAAGAAGTTGTAACAACTGAGAAAAACACTACATTGGCCGAAGTGGACGTCCCCTTCGTCTTCGTATCCACGAACATAAGCTAACCGTCAAAAGACATGATATCCACTCCACCACTCATATCACTACACACAGACAACCACGGACATCAATTCGACTGGGATAACGAACGTTCAAATATTAGACAGAGGAAACACAAAGAATCCTTGAGAATTTTTAGAAGCCTGCCTGGTATTCCAGTGAATCATCAATCAATAGACACATCGACATAGACGAAATTTATCAACCGATAAGAAAGAAACCTAACAAATACAAAGGGTCAAAGTTCAAGTCAAAGAAACAATCAGTTCCAATACAAGTAGCTGCCTAGAGGGTGTGAAAACACACAATCACTCACGAGGTTGAAGGTCACCCACTAGGAGAGATGATCACTAAACTGGTGGAGAAATCTAAAAGCTCACTTCAATGAATTGAAGTATGTGCTGCCGATGTTGCCTAGTAGGGGGCGACGAAAGCTTCGCAAATTAACTATCCAGCTAGCTCAGAGAACATAACCACATCAAAACCACTAACCTGAGCTACAAATCCTCTCTATCATATCTTTGAATATTTCCCAGAACACTGTCAGATCAGTAGCATAGTTTACCAATGAAACAATATAAACTATGTATTCTAAAATCAATCCTAGACTAAAGAAACCCTAATTTCAGATTCCCTGTGTGACTTAATACTGTTTCAAATTATATTAGGTAATCAATAGTCTGTCACATTTCACATCACTCTCATCAATTCCACCGAATTCATTAATCATTTTACTTTTCTGTACATTCATGTTAAGATGAATTGGAAAAAGTTGTTTGAAAGATTATTTCGACAAATTGGATTCAAAAATTACAAAACATTCAAAATCAGTATAGCGGACACAACAGCGTTAAAATATCATTGCGCCTTACATGAAATTGAACTGTCAACACCTACTGGTAAAAGGTAAGCTTCATACTTATTAGTTCCACTGAATAAGACTGAAGAAATACTTTTCTTTATAAAGACATGCTTTGGTGGATACAAACAATGTGACTTTTTCACTTACTGAAAAGTTCATTAAAATTTGTATTTTGTTCAGTTTGAACACGGTCAATATTTCAAAGATGAACTGGACTCTTATGTTCAAATATTTCAATATAATATTGGTCAGGGACTATTTCATTTAGAGAAGCATAGAAAACCTGAGAGTATTAGACAGCTGTTTTGCTCTGGTTGGTTTGTTCTATCCCTCGACTGTTACCTTCATTAAGAAGGTAACCTCAACACTTTCAGAATGTACACATCCATGTGTCTAATTTGTTTGGTATTGTGACAATAGTCTGATGCAATCAATTTTGTTGAATGTAAATTTCCCAATTCACTTTTCTCCGGAAACTATGCTGGCTTCATTTTGTACAGCAGACGTTTTAATTTTAAAGTGTACTTTGTTCACAAATATACACTAGGAGTACGAAACGTTGTATTATCACATGAAACGTCAATTCCGATGAATGAATGAATCACAGATAAATACGACTGGACAGAATCATGCCGACTTGATATTTTCTGTATCATTCCAGGGTGTTCGACTAGTTTCCTACCACATACCGACAATTCGAGATTTTGTTGATTTCGTGACTCAATTTTGCTGCTGTTCAAATAAATAAGCATACGATATGGAGCTATACGCAGTAGCTTCATACGGTTTACAGCTGAAACTAAATGACAACACTTACTTTTATTTCTTTTCTACAGTACAATTAAGAATATGGCTATCATGGACTTTATGACATATCACGTTAACACTATTGGGCTTGAAGTGAACAGTTCAGAAAGTGCAAATTCTGAGATGGACTCAGGTACGTCATAACTATTGTTTTCGTCTGATGATAAGTGAAGTAAATCGTGCTTTCAGTGAGGATTTGATTTATTCCAACATTGATTTATGTACACTCACTCTTGCGCGTGAACCGCTTGAAGTTTTTGATAAGTTTGTGTATCTGGGTAGTTGTGTGAGTGATGGAGGAGGAGTGACAGATGAGATTTCCAACCGTATAATGAAGTCTAGGGTGGCATACATGAATTTGAGCTACCTTTGGCGCCGTCGCGACGTTATCCTGGGTGTCAAAGGTCAGGTATACAATGCTTCGATGTGAGCTGTATTTCTCTACGCCACTCCCGGTGAAACCTGGCCTCTCCGAGTAGGCTAAGGATGTTCAGCGACCCTGCGTGTTCGATCATCGCTGTCTCCGCAGGACTGTTTGTGTTCGATTGCATCATCGGGTGAGTAATTCTGAGGTTCGGTGGCGTGTGTTTGAACACAGTGGAGATCATCATTCATTGAATGTCGTCATCTGGAAACACCGGATCCAGTGGGTTGGACGTGGGCTGGGAATGTCATCCCATAGGAGGCTTCTGTACAGGTGCCTGTTCGCTAGCCAGCCCTGGGATGGGGTGGAAAAGGCGGAGGGGTGGTCAGTCCATGTGGAGGCGTCGTGGGATGAAGGATGTTTGTGCTAGATTAGCATCGTTTGGTCTGTCACGACTCCATGGTTGGGGTCCGAAAGGTAGCTCGAATCGATGGCTCGAAACTTTATTGGATATGGCCAAGAATCGTAATTAATGGCAAACGTGTTGCAATTTTGCTCCCTTCTTCCCTTCCTGATGATAGTTAAGGAATACTGCTTGAACTTATTAAGCATGACTGTTTTCCTTCCAGATGAAGTTCTTTACCCGTTCTCTACTTATATTTTCTCTTATTTTCTTTTTTATACTTTTGATCTATGTTGTTTTATTTTTATAGTGTGGAGCATCTTTCTTGGTGCCACATTGTACCGAGTGTTTTCTGCGTCCAAATAAATAAAACATGTTATGTTTGAAGTCGATGGAGCATGCGTGATATCTTACTGACTCGTTTGTTAAAAATCATTCGTCTAACATGTTTCAATTTGGTGTATGTTTTCAAAACATTTCTGTGTCTTGTTTATTCTGATTAAAGGTTTGAGCCCGAAATTCTCAGTATTTTGTATCGAACAACTGAAAGAAACATTTCCATGGACTCTTGAAAGACATTACGTTGCTCAGTACTTCAAAGAAAGTCAACGAAATGAGGTTCGTCCAGTAATTCATATTTAGTTCCATTGTCTTGTCTGTATAAGTCAGAGTTTTCGAAATTATTTTCCCACGTGAACCGGAAGCATCATGACAGTCAGTACTTATAACAAGTACAAAGAAATGTGATCATTTCTGTCCATAAATATTATAAGAAATAAGCTTACTGTTTCGAATTTACCCTCATTATTTATTTAGTGTTATTTGGTGTTGGGAAACGGGTATAAAATGGACCCCCAGGAAAACCTGGAGTATCTGAACTTCGCCGACGACATATGTTTCATTCCTCACAAGCTGGAAGATATGCAAGTGAAATGCAACAAGTTCGCAGAAGAAACATCAAAGATAGAACTAAACTTCAGGTGAATATAGAGAAAACAGAGGTGGGTAATGAAGATTCCTGGCCAACACCAACAGCCACAGCAACAACAACAGACAAAAGTCAGCCAGGATAAATGGGAGCAACCTGAAAGAAACAACCTCCTTCACCTACCTACTTACCTACCTACCTGGGAAGCATCGTTTCAACTACGGGTGGATGGAACTGGAGAGGATATCAAAGCAGCGTGGGTCGTGAAAGCAAGACAAGCTTTCATTAATCTCAAGTCTGTGTGGGGACCAACCCTCTTTACTCAGCACGAAAAATAAGATCCGGATTTTTAACTCCAATATGAAGTCAGTGCTACTCACTGCACGAAGCAGAGACTTGACAAGCGCGTCATGAAGAGCAGCTCAAACAAACTACACACCTTCATCAACACCTGCCTTCTTTTAATACCACTCAAGATGAGATGTCCGGCCAGAGAAGATCAGGAACAGTTATCCCTGGCAATGAGAGAACCAACCAGGAACCGATTTTGAAGCAAATAGACAGGAAGAAATGAAGATGGATTGGCTGGCCATACTCTGAGGAAACAAACCATCAATTGACATCACTAGACGAGCCATCGCTCGAGTGGAACTCGATTGAATGGGAAGCGGCGACTTGGTCGTCATTGCAAGGGTGACTTGAAGGAGGCCATGTGAAGAGGAGATGAGATCGTGTGGGTAGATCTGGAGCCTGGTGAAAAAGCTGGCGGAGAATTGAACGCAATGGAGATGTTCAGCCGAAGCCCTATGTTCCTCTGGAAATTAAAGGAAATTTTTTCCCTCACGTTCCCCAGTGGAACATAGGGCTTCAGGCTAGTTGCTTGAAGTTTATGTGGCAGTATTTATCTTACAGGATGGGGTTGCTAGCCTCATGCCGATTCTTCCCTATCTACCAGTTTTACTATTGGCTTAGTGAGGTCAAAGGGTGCATCGACTGGGGATTCAACCCCGGACCATGTGGATGGTCGGCGAGCGTCTGAAATTAAAGGAAATAATATTTATAAAGATAATCGATGTGTGAAAGTCATCTAAGGCTCTGAAGTGACGGCAGGAGTAGGATAGAGCTAACTACTATCACACATTATATTCCTAAAGGCGGTACACTGTATTGTGCATCAAACTGTGAGTGAGGAGCGGCAAGACAGGAGTCCGTAAGGCAGATTAAAAGACTTAAGAAGATTACGACTTCTCGGATGTCTTAAGTCCAAAGTCACATGAACTACAAGCTCTACAGGAGAAAACCAGCTAACCGGCAGAACAAGCATCAAAGATTGACTTCAAGTGGACATACGGAATACGAAGGAGATGAAGACCATCAACTGACGACGACAACAACAACAGGCAAGAACCAGGATGGACGAGAGAAATTTGAGAGAGTTCAATCCCTTAAACGTATCTAAGAAGCACTGTGTTTAAAGATAGGCGGAACGGATGAAGATATCTGAGCGAAAAACGGGAAGGTAAGGCACACTACCATCATCGTTCTGAACTCAGTTTGGAAGTCTTCTGCATTCTGGAGCATGAAGAACGAAATTCGAATTTTCAATAAAAACACCAAGTTAGTCCTTCTAAATGGGTCAGAGACTTGCACTATTCGTCACGAATAAAATTTACAACAGGTTACTGCAGACTTACATCAACAGCTGCATTCACCGGCTTCATATTTAATAATGATAATGATGATAATTTGCTTTATTCTAAAACAGTACTTGTGATACAGAATGGAATTCTCACCATTCGCTACAGTATTGCCTCCAGTTTGTACATTAACAATAAATAAATTTCTACACAGATTAAGTGTAATCTTAATTAGCTTTGACAACAACATATTGGCATGTCGGTAGCAAGCCAAAATTGAACAGTTTTTGAACGTGTTAGAAAAGTAGATAGTAGAATATTTACTGGCTTAAGCGTTAACAAAACGGTCGAGAGTGTGAGAAAGAGCGAAGAATGTTTTAAGTAGAGTTTGTGAGGAAGAGAGAAACAAAACAGCACATAACAAAAAGAGGAGAGAGGGAGAAGAGGAAAAGAAAGGAATAAAACATTGTAGCTATAAATGATATGAGTTGGAAAGACGAGATCCAGTTGTTCTTCTGACTATTTAATTAGTTATAATTTTCACGCCTAATGCTTCATTCATCGCACAGAACACGAACGAGCCAATTAGGGTATGGTTGAGTTTTTGTACTTGCTAATGCGGGCATATAGTATTCTATATAGGCTTCTGGTTCAGGCTGATGAGATACAAGGGGAGAGGATGGTGTGAGTTATGTAAAATGGATTTTGGCCATTTCTCACATGAGTCCATGTACCTGCCGACTAGAATATTAACAAGGCAGTTGAGTGGCACACTGCTTACCCTGCTGACAACTTTTAACATCCTGCGTAATAAGATATAGTCCTTCTTCAGTAGCCCTGGAAAAACTAAGGGGGAGAATAATAGGCACGATGCAAGAGTAAGGGTTGGATTGGGTTATTCCAGAATGTCTTAACTTCTTGATGTAGAAGGTAAGACGGAATAGTTTCTTAGAAATCATCTAGATATGAGACGACAGGAAAGGTCAGCAGATAGAATTTCGCCTAGGTATTTAATTTCCAACTTGGTCTCTATTTCAGTGTCATCTATGTTGCACACCTCGTGAGCCCTAACCGGTTTATTTAGGTCAGATTTACGCCTGAAGGTCAAATTGACTGTTTGACATTTTTAAAAAGATTTAAGGCAAGACCGTTTTCCTTGGACCACTGGCTGATTTCTGATAAAAAGCCATTTAATTTGGAGCATTCGCTTTGACATCTGACAGACAAAGATACAGTCAGATCGTCAGCATATTTAACAAAATTAATGTCATTTGAAGATGGTAGGTCACGTAGAAAGAAAGAAAAGAGAAGTGGAGAGAGTACAGCACAGCAGAAGAGGATTTACCTTAGTATACAGTGTACCGCATTCTGTTTGAGAAATAAGAATGCAACCAGTTAGTGACCCAGGACTCAGTTTGTGTCATAGAGAGCTTATTTAGCAAGAGACATCTAGGAACAGAGTCCAAAGCAGAAGTGAAGTTGAGAAACGTGCAACGAACGTAATTCTATGCTACCCTAATTATGCTTTCTTTCTCATTTCAAAAACCGCAGGTTTTCAATATGGTCGATGAAATCAAGAAGACTGTGAATGATTCATTCGAAAAGCTGACATGGTTGAATGACGGAATGAAGCGCTTCGTGATTGACAAGGTTTGAATTTATTTGACTGAAATTGTATATTTAGTAATTTCTACAATAATGAACTTACAGATTTCGAAGATAAAAACCTTCGCTTTGTTTGATGGTGTGGAAACATACGAAGAGAAAGAAAATCTATCTACTATATATCGAGTAAGTCAGACGAGACGGTTGTCATTCTTCTACCACATTTTATTGAAAAGAGCTATTCTCAATAAGCAGATCGCAGTGCAGTGGAACACGCATTTTACTGAGAAACATTTAATTAACGGTAGAGTTTATTTCATCAGTAAACTATCTCAAATATATTGAGTTTGACATGAACTGTTTAAGTGCATTTTGAAAGTCTAGTGGAGCAGTGTTTCCCCAAACTAGAAATTGTGTAGCTAACAAACTTACGATCTCTGACGGAATAAAGCATGTACACTTGAAATTTCTTCACAACCGTGATAATAAGAGTGTTTCACTGAAGGTGTAATTTAAAGAAATCATTTCGCTTTATGAATTTCGATAACACAATAAGAAGACGTGGCTTATCTGAAACGTGTAATGTATCGATGCAACACATTTCGGATATTCTGATCACACACATGAGTGCTTGTCATACACAGTTTTATAGAAGGCAAGAAAGCATGAATAATAACAATACAGGTCAGATTGTGTACAGGTCAAGGTCACAAATAATGGGTGGGGAGACTCGAAGGTGTGGGTTAGGAAGACAAGAAGAGAAAAAACAAGACCGAGAAAGGGTTGAAAATATTATGAAGTATATTGGTCCTTGGTTCTAAACCAACAGATCCCATAGAAATCCTGAGCCAGATCACCAGGGTACAAGACTGTATATCGCTAGCATACGTTAAAGAGAACAATGAATGCCTGCCATTTTTAAATGTAATAATAACCCGCCGAGAAGATGGGTCAGTAAAACGATCTGTCTACAGAAAGTCCATATGGACGGAACAGTATCTTAAGTATCCACTATGGTATAAAAACCGTTGATGAAGTGTTTGTTCAAGCGCATTCACCGAATATGTACTGCCGATATAATTGAAGAAGATAGACAACACCTCACTGAAATATTGTTAGATAACAACTACCCACAGAGATTTATTAAGCGTTACGGAAATGTCAAACATAGAGCTCTACCAATCCAATCAGCTCCCTGCCATTCAGAGGTGATTAACAAAGTCTGGTCACTAGACAAAGACTCAGGGATGCAATTAATAGGACTTATTATGCAGCTAAACTTATCTTCATAGATAAAACGAAAACTATGCTGTCCTGTAAACCCTCACATTATCAGAACGATAGTGTCACATCCCACTGCGTTTATCAATTTACATGTATGTGTGTAGACACGTACATAGGGAGGACCCATTGATCTCTGCAGGTAAGGGCTACAGAACACATTCCAAAGTGGCTGCAACAACAAATGAAACCGCCAGACACAATTGATCCCTGCAATAGATGTCCAACATCATCTGTAGCGAAGCATATTGTAGAGACGGGTCATAAGATTGATTTCAGCAATCCCTTTAAGCCGATATATAAAACAAGGTTGGGCCACATACTTAAATTTGTTGAAGTCTTAGCCATAAAAAGACTTAAACCGGTCTTATGTGTCCGAAAGCCATTTGTTATCACCCTAAATCTGCCTTGGTAATCCAATTTAGAACCAAGGACCAATTTACTTCATAATATTTTCAACCCTTTCTCTGTCTTGTTTTTTCTCTTCTTGTCTTCCTAACCCACACCTTCGAGTCTCCCCACCCATTATTTGTGACCTTGACCTGTACACAATCTGACCTGTATTGTTATTATTCATGCTTTCTTGCCTTCTATAAAACTGTGTATGACAAGCACTCATGTGTGTGATCAGAATATACGAAATGTGTGTGTCGGTGTCACAGTGGTTAGGACTCTTGTCGACCATGAATATGATCCAAGGTTCGAATCCCTACCGACGCATCATAAAGAGCACCTCAAACAAACTTCAGACCTTCATTAACAGTTGTCTTCGCTCAATAGTATACAACATCAGATGGCCAGACAAATCGCCAGCAGAGATCTGTGGCAATAAGCGAACCAACGAGTAACCGATTTTGCAACAAATACATTGGAAGAATTGGAAGTGGATTGGCTGGCCATACTCTGAGGAAACCATCAAGTGATATCACTAGACGAGCCATCGCTCGAGTGGAAATCTAAATGGAAGCGGTGAGTTGGTCGTCCGAGTGTGGGTTGACTTAGAGGAGGCCATGTGAAGAGGAGATGAAAGCATGTCGGCAGGTTTGATGCAAAGTGAAAACGTTAACAGAGAACAGAATGAGATAGAGACGCGCGGTGAATGCTCTGTGTTCCTCTAGGAATTGAAGGAAATAATAATAATAAGTAAGACCAGAAGGTTTGGTTAGCACACTGTATATGCTTCCTCTCCGTCTTAATCCGTAGACACTTGAATACCCGTAAATCATATTCTCACAAGTTTTTATCACAGATCACATTCACATTTCATTGTTTTATCTTACTCTTCCAAACAGCTACAGTATCCGATTGATGAAAACACCTACATTATGAATGAATATTATGCACGCAGGGCAAAAGTCCTCGACGACTATCGAAAGGAAGTATTCGGTCTGGGAGAGAAGTAAGCTGTTAATATTTTTAGACACATAAGTGTGGCTGGAACATCTCCATTAGGCCTAATAAATGAAGAAGTTTTCAGTGAAAGTCACTCATTTTCAAGCTGTGCATTCGCATATATAAATATAAACAAATATATTACATTATGATAGCAATAAGAGAGAGGAATGTTTCCAAAGATTTACCGTCTTGATTGCAAAATTTCTGACGAAAATTGTGTTATACACAAAGCAATCATTGAGTAGAAATCTAAGCGAAATTCGATAGGTAAGCTGGGTGATGCTTCATAATCGAAGGGGTTTTAATACAACTTAAACAAAATTGCCGACGCCAAGTAAAACACCAAGTCAAGTTATCCTGAAGAGAGAGAGAGAGTAAAATATCCCCTGGATATGGAAATCCAACCAGAAGAGGCTGGATTCAGGCGAACTACTAATGTGCGGATCAAAGTGCAACTCTAGGCAACATCATTGAACTGAGAACAAAGTGGCATTCAACTCTCATTCTAGCGTAACTTCTTTCAATTTGAATATGCCTTCGACAGACAGCAATGGCTGTGAAGCGATGTGGAAACCGCTTCAACACTGTGGCGTGCATGACCCTAGATATTATTCATCCGTATTCAACAGCTGAATGACAATGCCGCTATAAGATCGTCCGAAACGGAGAACTAACCAAAGGCTCTGAATTGAAGGCAGAAGTAAGACAACACTGCCCAACAAACTCTCTAATTATATTCCTCATTGTAGCCAACTGGATTATGCGAGAGTCTGTGAGTGAGGAGCGGGAAGACATGAATCCTTTGGGCGAATAAGAAGACTCTAGAAGATCATGACTTCTCGGATGACTTATGTCGAACGTCACACGAAGTAGAAGTCGTACATGAGAAACATTAATTTTAAGCCAGTCAGTTCCTCTGCACAGGTGATACACCTGTCACTGATTTCCCGGAAAACATTTCCAACAGGCTACTAGAGACTTTCATCAACAGCTGGCTTCTCTGATTTCATACTGGAGAATAGATAGCTAGTCAGAAAGACTTAGAAGCACTAAGCACCGGGAACAAAATAACCATGAATCTAGTTGTCAGTAAAAATACGCTGTAAGGAAATGGAGGCGGATCGAATACACGAATGAGGAGACCATCGAATGACACCGTGCACTAAATCATCACTCAAGTGGATCCCGGAAGGGTCTCAGTTTGAAATGGAGCGGATTGTGTGAGGAAGAGATGAATTACTATGAACAATCATGGACGGGGTCAGCTGCAGAGTATTAGTTGGAACAGGACACTGGAGATCTGTTGTTGAATACTTATGTTCCACTTGGAACCAAGGGAAATATTTATAATGGCCAAAATTGAAATGGGGTCAAATTATCATCAGTCTTCTGAAGAGACGGATTGTATTATTGGAAATGTTGTGAGTATTTAAAATATGAACTACCATAGCTTCTGCAGTCTGTTCTTCTTTAGGACGATTTATGTGTACTCTGTAGATACGTCAGGGTTGGTTTGCACGCTCCAGAATATAGCTGTGGAGGGGGTATACTTCTCCTTTTTATGTATGTAGGAAATATAACATTTTCAGATATTTAGATTGACATTTAAATAAACAATAGCTACGATTTTTACTAATCGGTAGTTTATAATGATTTCATGCTCAACGAAATATTGAAAAGTAAGAGTAGCCCAGATAATTCACGGGTAATTCACGATCATTTAAACAGTCCAGTCGACATAAGAGTGAAGCCTACATTTACGTCACATTCATCCAGCTTAAGCGATACAAGGTAAGAAAAGTCATGACATGGGTTATATCTGTAAAATACACAACACAATGAAAAGAAGTAACTGTTTATCATTTTAGCTAAGTTCTGAAGCTTCACATACTGTATATTTAATTGAATTTTTACATTTTCCCGTCGATTGATTGGACGGAAGTGCTCGGTCTCAGGTTGACATGTCGGCTTCTTGTGTAGGGAACATCATCAGTCATTGAGAAATGCAGGTACATCCAGCTGACGAGTCCCAAATAGGACGAAATGTGCATCCTGAATCCCACACTGCTAGTCACCATCCACCAATTAACTTCACATACTGTGTTTCTCATTCATTCACAGATATGTAGTTTGTTATTATGGAAGACCAGTGGAATTCGAGCCCATAAAATTTATCCGGCACTCCATCAAAGGACGTGTAAAATCCTCAGTGTTTCTCTCTGTTCTTCTTCTTTATAGCTACGATTCATTACTATTGAAAGTAGAGCATATATGAAGAACCTAACTGTGTTTAACGACCAACGAATGTTACGTCTTAATAAGAGAGTTTCAACGTTCTTCTGGACCACACTCATCAACTGTGCACCCAATTAGACACAACTCTGGGGGCGTAGTCATCCGAATTCTGGCTGGCCACTTGCACCGACTGGTACCAAACAGATCACATATGATGGTGAGGACCACTTCGGTTACTAAAGGGAAACTGCAGCGAAATCGCATCTGCAACTGCATAATTCTTCAAAAAACAGTGTCAAATGTCTTTTGCTAATTAGGAATTTGATCCTTGTAACATGTCGCTTGTCTCCTATGTTCTTTTGTTTATTCGTCACTTCGTCAGAAACATTCAGAGAGCTGATGATTTCATTTTTTGTATTTTCTATGCACAGATTGAATGCACAAAGAGCAACTTATATACCCTCAGCCTCTTATTGGCCCACTGAAAACCGCATAAATATTAATGGTGCTTTGCTGAATCTACCGATTAACCGTGATAATCAAACTATTTCGGAAAAATATGGAGGATTGGGTTGGCATATAGCTCATGAAATATTACACGCTGTTGATACATCCTGTACTAAACGAAACAAAATGAGTTTTTTTTTAATTTTTAACATATCTTTGTTGACATGTGTTAAACTGACAGACACTTTTTCAGGGAAAATAACCCAAGGTGGAAGAGAAAATTTAAGTTGTTTCCCTCATTCACAATGTGTTCGTATTTTTGTAACCTTGTTTCAGTGATATTGCAGTCATCATCTTCATCCCTTTACTAGCATCCATTCAATTTCCGAGTGTGACGTAAGGCTTCAAGTATGGTCTTTGAATTGTCAGAAACAGTTGCTTTAGAGAGTGGGGCTGCAAGAGTCACATCCAACCTTTCCTGCCTGACCGTCACTCTCCATCATATAGGCGAAGCGTAAGAGTGTGTTAGGGTCTGGGAATTGGACTTCCACCCCGAAGGTAGTTGACTAGCATTTTAACCCTGGACCACTGATATACCTTTGTTCGTACACTGACTCAGAACTAAAAGGGAGTTGAATTAATTCACTGTGTAGCTTCACTGAAGACTTGAAGATTTCGATAGCTGTTCTCTGCAATGATGTAACTTAGTGTAGCTCAACTTCACCAGAAACAATTTGACCATCATATTGTCCGAATTATTTTGTAGCCTCAGGTGTGGCTTATTGGTGATTATTATATTGCGTCGATGGCACAGTAGTTAGGACTCTCGCACGTGGCCCGGGGTTCGAGCCCACGCCGACGCACACCTGATATCTATGTTCGGCCTGCCGAATTTCGGCTACCGATATCCACGCTGAAAATTCCATACTTGTACCAAAAATACGGTGTGGATCAAGCTGTAATCAAAAACAAAATAATATGTTATAATTATTTCCTGTAATTCTTATAGGAACATAATGCGTCAGCCAGACGTCTCCGTTGCATTCGGTTCTCTGCTAGAGTTTTCACCTGGCTCCAAGTGTGCCCATATGCTCTCATCTCCTCTTCATACCACCTCCTCTAAGTCACCCCACACTCGGTCGACCAACTCGCCGCTTCCTTTTCTGGCAGGTTCCACTCAAGCGAAGGCTTGTCTAGTGATGTCACTTGATGGTTTGTTTCCTCAGAGTATGGCCAGCCAATCCACCTCCATTTCTTCCTGCCTATTTTTTGTACAATCGGTTCCTGTTAGGTTGGTTCGTTCATTGCCAGACATCCCTGTTGCTGATCATTTTGGCCGGCCATCTGATCTTGAGTGAATTATTGACCGAAGGCAGCTGCTGATGAAGGTGTGTAGTTGGTTTGAGATGCTCTTTATGACGCGCTGATCAAGTCTCTGATCCGTACAATGAGCAGCACTTACTTCACATTGGAGTTCAAAATCTGGATCTTATTTACACTTTCATGCTGCCTGCGGTTGACCTCCACATAGATTTGAGAGTGATAAAAGCTTATCTTGCTTTCACGATCCTTGCCTTGATATACTCGTCAGTTCGTCCTCCTGTGGTTGAAACGATGCTTCCCATTTTGGTAGGTAGGTAGGTGAAGAAAGTTGCTTCTATCAGGTTCCTCCCATTTATGCTGGTTGATTGTTTTCTATTGTTGTTGTTGGTGGTGGTGTTGGCCAGGAATCTTCATCACCTCTGTTTTCTCCATGTTCACTTGAAGTCCTATCCTCTATGGATGTTTTGTCTGCCAACTTTTTGCTTTTCACTTGCATATCTTCTATTTTGTGGGATATCAGTGAATTGCAGATCCTGCAAATTTTTCGTGAGAGCCAATTTTAAGCCTGTTTCCTCGTTGCCCGCCGCTGTCTGTCGCATTGTCCAATCTAATGCAGTCAGGAAGATCATTGGCGATTGTAGACAGCCTTCGTTGACTCCCGTCCTCACTTCGAAGGATTCCGTACGTTTTCCGTTGTGGATTATTTGGCGTGCAGCATTGTCATACAACGTTTGGATGAGATGTATAGTTGTCAGTGGCACCCCCTAGTAGCGAAGTAGTTATTGCTTATCTTAGCTGAATCGGAAGAGGTATTAGAAATATTGATCAGCATTATTATTACTATTAGTGTTATATTTATTATTCGATTGGGTGCCAAGTGGAACATGGGGTTTAAAGAGCACATTCCCATTTCACCCCGTTCTCTGCAGTCCTCTTTCACTGGAGCCATGTTTCTCCATATGCCTTCATCGCCTCTTCGTACTATCTTCCCAATATCAGCTTCGAACCAACCCCCAACTCGTTCTTTCCCATCAAGAATCCATTGGAGCGGTAGTCTGATGGATGATGTCATTTGATGATCTCCTCGGTGTGTCCCCGATCCATCTCCATTTCGTACAGCAAGTAGTTTTAGGAGTAGGTTTGTAATTCGTTCGTTTCTGAGCTTCCTTATCGCTATTTCTTTCTGGCCAGCTATCTGATCCCCAGTATGGAGTTGGAGAAGCCATCATTTGATGAAAGTCTTCAGTAGCTTGTAAGCAATGCTCTCTGTGACACACCAAGTTTCTGACTCACGTAGTGTGCAGAAGATTTCAAACTGATTTCAGAGTGACGTAGATGTGCCTTAGCTTTCCAATCGTAGCTGGTTTTGACATCCTCAACTGCGATGCTGATCTATAGTTGAGACGATGTTTTCTAGATAAGTGAGGAGAGAGTGACCTCTTTCAAATTTCCCCACCGATATTGGTTGGTGCTTTTTGTTTTTGTTGCTATTAGCTACTGTCCTTCATAACCCATGTTTTCTCCACGTTAATTTGAGACACCGTCTTCAACTTATTGGTTTTCTCCTGTATACCTTCGAGCCTGTGTGACATCAGGCATGAATTGTCCGCCATGTACAGAACGTCTAGAGTCTTCTTGTCAATCCGACGTACTCTTGTCCTCTTCCTCCAGAGCACAGCCTTTCGCATAATCCAGCCTATCACAGTCAAGGATAGCGTCTTACTCCTGTCTTCACTTCAGAGGATTCTCAGAATTCTAAGATGTGGGTCGCTTGACATGCAGCTTTTGAGTGGTCAACAACTGTTCATATATTTTCTCTCTGTTTTCCTCTGATTCGGTCTTCCGGAATGATCTTTTAACTGAGGTATTACACTTTGATTAGTATCATCACCTCATTCGCGCTTCTAGGCGACTATGGTAACTGTTTGCACTTTATTTCTTCTGTGCTGCGGTGAATTTCAACCATTTCAAGGAGCATGTTCATATCACTGACCTTATGGTGTGTATTCAGTAAAGTACAGTTCCATGTTAGTTTCTATTGTCAATTCGGGTATCTGGCAAACAAAGTATTGATATAAATAAAATACAAGAAACTATGGAAATCAGCCTAGTAACGCGTAGGATTTTAATAACATTTCATTTTCTATAGTTTGGTTTGTAAAGGTTAATTTTGTTTTTAACCAGTTGATCACGGATTTATATCAATTAGAGAACCATTGAAAACCAACCAGGGAGTACTGGACAGCTAGCTGTTTCGTTTTAGTTTTGGAAGACCATCGGTAGTACAAGGCAACCATGCTCGTGTATCATTCAGCCAGTGGGACCCGAGTCAATGGCCAGTGCATGAATTCTAACTTCTGCCAATTTGTGATTTAGCCTGACCCCAACCATTGTCGTAGGTGGGACATCCATCCTCACATGTGACATCAATCCATGATCGAATCGTTAAAAACAAAATTAACCCTTACAAACCAAACTATAGAAAATTAATCTGATACTCGCTAGTGACTTGCTACATGATGGATTTTCCTGAAGTTCTAGTGAAAATTCGTGACTAGTGAGGTTCATCGAGATGTGATAAGCTCTTAGTAATATGATGATTTTTCTGGGGAGGCATGAACAACAGCAAGAGGGGTGTGAAAATGACTCACCGATGCATTTGACCTAAGTGTATGAAACCGGTGATGAAAATTTATTGACAATTACATTAAAAGTATTGGTTTGTAGTAGGGATTTTGTTTGATTGCATGGAGGATTTGATCATGAGCTGACATCAGTTAGAGAACCACTGGAAAACCTGGGAGTACTGGACAGCTGTTTCGTCCTAGTTTGGGACTCCTCAGCAGTACGCACTCAATGGTCTACGAGCTCGCCTTGTAACCAGAAGGTCCTGGGTTCGAATCCCGGTGGGTGCGTACTGCAGAGGAGTCCCAAACTAGGACGAAACAGCTGTCCAGTACTCCCAGGTTTTCCAGTGGTTCTCTAACTGATGTCAGCTCATGATCAAATCCTCCATGCAATTACATTAAAAGTTTGCATATTTTCATCATATGCATGAACTCAAATACCTCAGGTGTAATTACTAGTCTGTTACTTCTAAATTTCAGACTCATGTTGTCAAATCATTCAATGTGCTGACTGGAATACTCGAAATCATTTCTCACATTTCCATTTGTGGTATGTGAATCATCGATCACCGATTAGCTCATTGACAGTCTCACTCATGTAATGTACGAAATTGTGTGACGCGATGAAGAATAATCCCAGTGGTATCCAGAGTTTCAGTGTAGTTTCCGACTTAGCTTATTGATATCCCTCAGTGACTTCTAAGGCAAGTTAAATTGACGAATACAATTTAGTTGAGAATCGTCTCCGAGAGAATATTTGTGCTACACATTCTCCCTTGTAAATCACCTTTCATTAAAGAAAACAACACACGTAGTTCAGCGAAGAGTCTTTTTTCCGCGGCGAATGCATTTTCCACCTTAGCTGTACAATAGCAAATACATATGAGTTATTTTATATGCAGGTGTACATCAAGTTTGTCAAACTAATATTCAATTGGTTACGGATATTTCAACTAAACAGGTGAAGATTGGTATTTGATGTAACGTATTACAAAATCAGTCAAGAAAATTAGGTGTAAATGAGATAAGGGTAGTAACAAAGGTGATGAGTTGTCACAAACAGTTGTTAAAAAAGAAGTTATGTAATAATATGGATACTCTGATGATTGAGTTTTTCCCAGGATACGCATAGAAACAAGGTAGAGAATACGAAATTACGTAAGAGTTCTAAATGAATACAAGAGTTATAAGTAATTAAAGAACAGGCAAAGAAACAAAATTAAGTCATATAAAATCAACAAAGTTGTTACCATAACAGTAGTGTTGTTGAGTATTTCTCCTGTGTAAGAACAGCTCCGGTTTTTCTATGTGAATAGCCGGAGCTTCAGCTAAAAAAAAAAGACGAAACCGTATTGCGTTCGGTAGGTTATTCCTGACTGTGTAGATTACTTGAATAAGGCATTAAGAAGACAAATTTCGCGAGATGATATTGTCATTTCGTAGTTTATTTACAACCGCTTTACAACTAACATGGTTAACAATGATCAAATAAAGTTCATGAAAATTACTCAGTTAAGTAAAAAACAAAAGTACATACTAATGACCAATCATATTAAGATAGGTCATGTTGTCCATGGTAGACAAAGATTGAAGTCTATTGATTTCTGTACACACAGTTTAGGCTGTATATGATTAATCCAAAGTGCTTCCATCACCTTCAATAACCTTGAATTAGAGTTATGTGAAATAATTGTGAAACAGTCATTAATTAATATTGATTTTGTGACCAGACATTAATAAGTGTTTTGCAATGGATGATGATGCTGGATTTCTACTAAGATTAATCGCATTGGGATTTTCAATATGATTTACTAGCCATTTTGGAACATGTTCTTTTTGACGACATTGGAACATTCTATTGCTTCTACCTATGTAGATGTCACCGCAACTGCAGGTCAACTTGTAGATACAGTTGGAATTAGAGTCCGCAGAATTTCGTCCTTGAATCGTAGGTACAGGGATTGAAAATGTTCGAGACCTGAGGGAAAGAGATGCAGCATAGAATGTGCGTTTGATGGCTGACCGAAGTCTTCGAGCTACCTGTCAACTGCATAATCTGGTCGCCCTTGAAGGGTAGATTAATAAAGATAGCTTTCTTTGGTACAGAAGCTGTCTTTTCAAGATGTGGTCTATCCTTACCGTGACAACTGATGAAGTTTTCTGGATAACCATTGGCTAGTAAAACTGAATGTATATGTCGAAACTCATTCATCAATGTGTCACTCGTGTGTAGATTACGTTGAAGCAGGAGGCGGTTGTTGAGATGTAATGATCAGTGTGTTAACCGAAAGTTCAATTATCGCACTCCTTATTGCACCACTATTGCTTTTTCGTAACTATGCTGGATAGTGTTCTTGAATCCTCTTGGACAGGGTGTGCGTCAAACGACCGGTGTACTTGGCTGGCTCCACAGTAGCAGGTGAACTGATATATATATGCACATAGAAGTGGTGAGATGCGGGATGTTGTCCTTGAGGCTTCTTTAGATCAGTGGGTGACTAGAGAACACTATTCTTAGCGTTTCTGCAAAGAATGTTCTTCTCGGAGATGATGTGATGCTTCTTTCCTTCACTCATCTAGCTATTCATATTATTACACAACTTCTTTTTTAACAACTGTTTGTGACAACTCATCACCTTTGTTACTACCCTTATCTCATTTACACCTAATTTTCTTGACTGATTTTGTAATACGTTACATCAAATACCAATCCCCACCTGTTTAGTTGAAATATCCGTAACCAATTGTATTCTAGTTTGACAAACTTGATGTACACATGCATACAAAATAACTCATATGTATTTGCTATTGTACAGCTAAGGTGGGAAATGCATTCGCCGCGGAAAAAAGACTCTTCGCTGAACTACGTGTTTGGTTTTCACTAATTCCTGGATGGGGATCATCCATGAATCAGCTTTCAGTCAACACGCTTAACAAAGTCGCTTATATAATCGACACCAAATTCGAAACGTCAAAGTAATATAAAACCACACTCATATTAATATTGATTGTACTACTGAACCGAAAAAAATCAATGGTAATAAATTTAACTACATTTCACACATATCAAGGTATACTTATCGATGAGAATGGAAATGACAGGCCTCCCAATATCGCCCGCAATGAATTTCTTGCCCTCTTGAAGCAAACAGAATGTCTACGAAAACAGTACACAAATTACGATTATACGAGTGAAAAGGTTTGTGGTTTTATGCTAAATAAAGTTATCAAATTCATCAAATTTGTCTTTTTTGTTTGTCTACGCTGTATGAACAACGAAAAATACGTGTCGGTTTTGTTTGGTTATTATTAGCAGAAGAAGCCTTAACACCTTTGGAAGTGATAATATAAGTGTAAAACGTATGCACTGTGGTAGTAAGTTATTCCATATTAGTTTGTTCATTAGATGTATCGCACAGTGATGACACAGTATTACAGTTTAGTGGATGACACACTTTCGAACACAATTCATTATTGCTGTTCATAATCATTCCATCAATTAAAATCACACGATTTCGAAACTTGAATTTTATAGTATTCTTTGTTCTCTCCTATTTGTCGTCGTTGGGGTAGTAGAAGTTTCCAGATATTTGGGCGGACAGGTGTTCATTCATTCCTATTACACGTATTCTTTCTCAGTTGATTCGATAAACAAAGCTTCCGTTATCAATCTTTCCCTTCACCCTGCTCTTGAATTAGACTTTAAAACCTTCAGCTTATCCCATCCAGCCTATTATATGGTTGTGTTGTGCGTAATTGCATTCAGCGAGTGTTATAGCTGAACTATCCTCCAGATTTCTCATCTTATTCGAGTCAGCTAATCTAGGTTTTGTGGCTAGGTTTTTATGCTCCGCTAGTCTGACTGACTGATCCCTGCTCTACTACTTGGTGCTATGTATTTCACCTGATAACCACTGCAGGCAGGGCATTAGATAAACTAAATTGTTTTTTTTAAAGGCTTCACAGGACTGATCCTTTAACCGACAAAGCTTGTTTCTAATTGAGTTTGTAGGTGATGTGAATGCCATCCACTTTTATTCCTGCCTGCCTTGTTAAGTATTCTGCATAAGGTTTCCGAGGTTCCTTCCTTATTTGTATGGAATTACTACTGATGATTTAGATTCCTTGTTGTTGGTGTTGTCTTGTGCATTTTGACATGCATTACTATTATTATTATTATTAATATTATTATTGTCATTATTATTACCATTATCCCTATCGCTACTATTATTGTTTATTTTATTTTCTGTGTTCATTTTCCAAATTTTTCAAATTCTCGTGAGTGTAGGGTGTACAAATTGGGAGAAGTTCTTCGGTATTTCAATTTCATCTTCTCTGTTGTCCACTTAACGAAAATAAATCTGTCTGTCTATATTACAGCTTTTTTCTTAGATAGCATTGCCTAGCTATTATTCCACAGATATAACCAGGTTTCAGTGACCTTGTGACTGTTATACAATGACCGCTATGACTCATTTGGTTTAATAATTCTGCCCTCTTCTTTAAAACCCGTGAATGATTCCATATTAGTTTATTAAATGTATCACACAATGAAACAGTATTACTGTTTACTGGATGACACAGTTTCGAACACAATTCATTATTGTTCATAATCATTCCGTCAATTATAATCACACGACTTCGAAACTTGAGTTTTATAGTTTTCTTTGTCTTGTCATATTTGTCGTCGTCGGGGTAGTAGAATATTCCAGATATCTGGGTGGCGAGGTGATGAATCATTCCTATTACATGTATTCGCAGTTTATTCGATAAATAAAGATTCCGTTATCAATCTCTCCCTATAGCCTGTGGCATTACATTTTTAAACTGCCATCCTATCCCATCCTACTGTATGGTTGACAGTTTTAAAATGTAATGTCACAGGGTATAGGGAGAGATTGGTAACAGAAGTCTTGTTTATCGAATAAACTGCGAATACATGTAATAGGAATAATTCATCACCTCTCCACCCAGATATCTGGAAAGTTCTCCTACCCTGCCGACGACAAATATGATAAGAAAATGAAAACCATAAAACTCAAGTTTCAAAGTCCTGTGATTATAATTGACGATGTGATTATGAACAATAATGAATTGTGTTCGAAACTGTGTCATCCAGTAAACAGTAATACTGTTTCACTGTGTGATACATTTAATAAACAAAATAATATGGAATAACTTACTACCGCAGTGCCCAAGTTTTACACATATATTAATGTGAATGATATCTACAGTCATCCGATTCATTGATTTTAAAGCGTAATGTTTCAGAGGGATGATTTTGAAAAGTCTAAGCGAGCTAAATATTCACACATATATACACGTAATCTAATTCAAGGTACAGATTTCCTATGGAATTCTATGTTAATGCTAAGTACCTCCAAGTGTCATGACCTCTGATAAGCATATCTTAAGGTCAGTGGAACACAGTCAAATGTTCTCAGTTTGTTTGAATCTGAATAGTATGAAGTCTAGTCCTGGGAAAAACCAACAACAACAACAGACAACAATCAGCCAGCATAAATAAGAGGAACCTGGAAGAAACAATCTCCTTTACCTACATATCTCGGAAGCATCGTTTCAACTACAGGCGGAACTGACGAGGATATCAAAGCGAGGATCGGGAAAGCAAGATAAGCTTTCATTACTCTCAAGTCTGTATGGAGGTCAACAGAACTCAGCATCAAAAATAAGATCCGAATTTTCAAATCACTGTACGGATCAGGCACTTGCACTGCGCGTCATAAAGAGCATCTCAAACAAACTACACACCTTCATCAACACCTATCTTCGCTCACTACTCAAGATCAGATGGTCGGCCAGAGAAGATCAAAACCAGGGATCTCTGGCAATCAGAGAACCAACAAACCAGGAACCGATTGTGCAACAAATAGGCAGGAAGAAATGTAGGTGGATTGGCTGGCCGTACTCTGAGAAAACAAACCATCAATTGACATCACTAGACAAACCATGGCTCGCGTGGAACCCGACTGAATGGGAACCGGCGAGTTGGTCGTCATTGTGTGGGTGACTTGGAGAAAATCATGTGAAGAGGAGATGAAAGCATGTGGACAGACGTTAAGCCAGGTGAAAACTCTAGCAGAGATTCGAATGCAATAGAGACTTGCAGGTGAATCCCCATGTTCCTCTGTTAATTAAGGAAATACTACTAATGAACTCTAGAATTCATAAAATGTAGGCTTCAATGACTCCTTCTTTGTATATTCAAAAGTGATGTTATTCTACGTATTCCACTTATCTGTAATGCATATTTCGATTATTATCAGAGTGGAACAATTCGAGTTCTGGATGAAATTCTATCAGATAACGGAGGTCTGAGGATAGCATACCAGGTAAATGATGATATTCGTTTTGTAATGTCAGTAATTTATACGGTATGACAATGTCTCTCCTGATATCATTTACCCTGACTGACTGTCCACATTTAGACCCTTTTTCACTTTTGTAACTAACAGATGGAGTTTATAATTTGACCTCCAGAAAGCGGAATTCGTAGACAGCTATTCTATATCAGTAATAAGTTTGAGCATTGTGGATTAGATCAAATAAAGTATAATTATATTTCAATAGTTTACACACAATGATAAGTTTTGTTATTGGTAATATTTCGAGCAAAATTACTACCCGTGTTCAAACACATTTATGATTTGTACTCATATATATAGTTCATTATTTTTTTGTTCAATCATGTTTAAAAAAAAAAAAAAAAAAAAAAAAAAAAAAAAAAATTTTTGTATTGAGAATTATATTTCAAGTTATTGGTAGTTGTACTGAGTCATCCTTGTTACATGTAACCGGTGTGAATTTAATGAATATCGATTCCGTTATGAGTCTTTCTTTCCATTTGTTCATGTTAGTTTTTAGAATACACTCATTGTTCCAATCGATATTGTGGTTTTTGTCCCATACATGTGCAGCTATCGATGAATTTTGTTTTTCAAGATTCTTGTAAGCTTGTGTCCCTGTTGGTTGACCTTTAGTTAGCCGTTTATGTTCACTCACTCTTATTTCGAGTGATCTGGATGTCTGTCCCACATATTTAGTCGGACAGTCGGCACAAGATATTTCTTGTAAATCAGATTGTTTTTATCCATCATTTTTATGGGATCTTTCAGTGGATTTATTTTATTTTTGACTACATTCGTCGGTTTAAACGCTGTTCGAATGCCGATATATTTTAGGTTGCTCTGAAATGCCTCTGATGTACCATTTGTTTTATATGGTATTGTGCCTGATTTTTTGCATTCTTCCATCTTGTTATTCTCCGGTTTTACCCTCCTTTTTCTCTTTTTTATATTATCTTTTATAAATTCATTTCGGTAGTTGTTTTCGAGTAGCATTTTGAATAGGACTTTATTTCTTTACACTGGTCCTCTGGTGTACTTGTTAGTCTACGTATTCTGTCTGCAAGCCCTTGTAATAATCCTCGTTTCATGAGTGGATGAGCTGAGTGATAATCAAGGAATCTTCCAGAGTGTGTGGTTTTTCTGAACAAAAAATCAATGAACTATACATATATGAGTACAAAGCATAAATGTGTGTGAACAAAACAATTCCAACAGTTGGTGTGAACACGGGCAGTAATTTTGCTCGAAATATTACCAATAACAAAACTTATCATTGTGTGTAAACCATTGAAATATAATTATACTTTATTTGAGTTACTGTATAGTTGTGGTAAATGATCCAAATTATCTGCTAGACTGATAGAATTCAGTCTACACCGATGAAAGGCGTAGACATGTCACACTAGTTACTAGTGTCCAATCAAAATTATCTACTTCGTTTGAAAATGGAGTATGCCTGTCAAGATTGCGTCGTTTCTCTGCAAGATTATTAGGCGGACAAATACATCGAAAAGTCAGGAATATCAAAGTCTGTGTCATACAGAGGACGAACACATCAGGTGTTTCCTAAGAAATGCATTTCATTACCTCATCAATGAAGTCGTGACCAGTAGGGTGCAGCAGGTCGGGTATGAGTACAAATACTCGCCGAAGACATCGGCTAGTGGTCGCGCTTTGCCGTGAACTGGCAGAAGTTGGAATTCTTTGGCTGGCCATTGGATCGATTCCCAGTGACTTAACGGTCGATGAGCTCGCCTTGTAACCAGAAGGTCCAGGGTTCTAACCTCGGTGAG